AAATAATTTCGTGGCTTTTAAATAAAGCCACGAAATTTTAATTTTTTTTTTAGCGATCCGTCACTTTAAATAGCGACGGATCGCTTTTTTTTTTAAGCGATCCGTCGCTTTAAATAGTGACAGATCGCTTTTTAATTTGATTTTTTCCGTTGCTATTTAATAGCAACGGATAATTTTTTTTTAAAAAAAAAAATTATGTGGGCTTTTATTTAAGGCCCCAAAATTTTTAAGGCTCGCGAGCCTACTTTGAGACTTGAGCCAGGCCTTAGTTGGACTTGGCTCGCGAGCCTATGAGCCTATAATATCAGGCTCAGCTTGGCTTGGATCGGCTCAGCTCGCTAGGCTCGCGAGCCTTAAGGCCTATGAGGAGTTTTACCTCTGATCCACTTTCCATTTTTCTTATATATAATATTATCAAAGTTAGTTTCACCTTTATTATATATATATATCTAATATAATGAAACCTTCTTCCATATATATTACTGAAAGTTAGCTTCATCTGTTAACCAATATTGGAATTGTGGTTCTTTATGGTTTTCTTATTAAATATTTTATATCATCTATCAAAATAATATAAACTTTTTTTTTTTTCGAAATTATATTAAGATAAATATATCTCTACTGACACTGAATATCTACTGACACTGAATACACAAAAATAATAATATATAATAATATGATATTATAATGATATACTGATACAAATAAGATAAGAATAATAATAGGTAAAGTAATAAAATTGATAAAGAAAATAGATATTAAAGATTGCAAATTTCGGTTTTCTTTTTCTTTATCTTGCAAAGCTTGAAAAGTTGTTGGTTATTAATTGTTTTAGTTTAGTAATTATTTTGATTATTGGTAATTTTGTAGCCTTTTCAAAAGTGTTAAAACATTACTTTCTATCTACCATCTTCTATTCGCAATATTGAAGTTCCTTGTCTCCTTTTATAGCATAAAAAGGTTACTAGTCCAAGCAAAAACATGGCAATAATGTCAACACTGAGACCAATTTTTAAACCTCGATTATCATTGAGGGATGGCGTTGCTGTTACTGTATCAATATTATTGTAATTTGTTGGTGTTGCTGTTATAGTAACTGTATTATTTCTGGTGGTTGTTGTTCGTATTCCTTTGCTAATGGTAGTGTTTCGTGGAAGAATAGTATTTTTCTGATAGTCAAAACACCCGAAGAATTAGGAAATTTCACTCGAGTCAAGTTTATGTCTCTACAGTCAAAAAGAACAGGAACAAAACTACTAGGAAAGGTTATCTTTGAAAGAGATGGATTATTAGAACAATTCACTTCTACATATTTCACACTTTACTTAAATCTAACTCGTTAAGTAAATTACCGTAACATTCTAAATAAGCAAGATTTGAAGAACCGGAGAGGTTAAGTTCCGCGATCCGATTATTAGAGAGCTTTAACCTTTTAAGTTTAATTATTCTATACTAGTAAGTTTCGAAAGTATTGATGAAAGAATCATCGAGATTTTCTATATTATCAGTATCAGACAAACTAATTCTACCATTGAAATTATTAAAAGAAAAATTCAACTTCTGTAAATTAACAAATCCACTTGTTATTAAATCGTCAACAAAAGTTTTGTTACTTAAGTCTAAATTAATAATCGATGACCTGTTTGAACTATGATAATTCTCATCCAAGTATTGAGTTGCCATAATGCTTTATTTTACACTTCTCCTCCCTATCATTAAATTCCAATTACTTAATCTTGTCTCTCCCTTTCACCCTCGTGTTTAATCAAAAACCTCTCTTTTTTTTTTTTTTTTATCAAAACAGAGCTCTTTCTCGCTCATCCGAATTCTCTTTTAGAAAGAAAAAACAACAAAAAAAAGAAAGGCAAAGGGTTGAAAGTTAGTTATTGAAAAAAGTGTTCTTAACTCTTATGTGAGAAGGCGGTGGCTTTTCATTCTAAATAGAATAATCCAAAATAATCCTCAACTGGGAAGTTCGTGTAATTAATTAGTTCGTGTAATTACCACTGGTAATTTATAATTAATTAATATTCCTCAACTGGATATTGAATATTGAACTAGAACTTTTTTTTTAAGTTTAGCGTTGCATGGCCTGTGTGCATAACTGCTCTATGCCTATGCTAATTTAATACTGTAAGTAGCACGTAAAATGCGCAAATATCATAGAAAGATAATAGAAAAGTGGAAGAATTTTTGTGGCATTTTTTAAACGTGATAAAGTTATGATGAAATAAACGTTTATTTTTTAGAAACAAATTTTAAAAGATTTATAAAGTTTTCGCTGACGTAATTATGGAAACCTCAACAAATAAACAATTATCTGAGGCTTTTTTTTTTGGCACTTTTACTATGAAATAGGCAAAACGCACCATAAAACTTGGTCTATTTGTAGTCATTCGATTAGTGTTATGTTTTCTAAATTTTCAACTAATATTGTACGATATTTTCTTTCTAATAAATAGGACTTTTTCATCAATTTAATCGTTCTTACTGGTATTATACTCGCTACTGTTGGAATTACTAGTTGTTAGTGACGGAACTGGTGACACTTTCTTGCAACTCTCGGCCCATTTCATTTCTTTCTCAATTATTTTTTATATCTGTCACCAGTGTCACTAATAAAAAGATAAGTTCTAGAGAAAAAAATCAAAACTTTTCTTATGATATGATATATATAGTATACCTACCTTCCGATATATCTATATCCATAAGAAAAAAAAAAAGCTTTTTTCGAGATTGGAATTTCAAGAGAGACAAAAATTTACTATACCTATGATATACATATGATATACAGAATTTCGATATAGACTACTCAGACTCCTTAACTATCTCTGATCCGCTTTTCATTATATTAGATATATATAATAAAGGTGAAACAAACTTCGGTATAAGAAACTTGCTTGGAAAGCTGACTCAATCTTCTATTTTTCTTATATATTTTATTGAAGTTAGCTTCACCCGTTAACCAATATTGGAATTGTGATTATTTATGTTTTTCTTGCTAAATCTCGATACACTTTTTTATATCATATAATTTAAACTTTTCTTTTCGAAATTATATTGAGATAAATGTATCTTTTAATAATAATATATAATATTATAATATTATGATGATATACTGATACAAATAAGATAAGAATAATAATTGATAATTAATAATTAATAGGTAAAAGTAATAAAGTTAATAAAGAAAATAAATATTAAAGATTGCAAATTTTTATCTCAATACCATGCCTTGGTTTCTTTTGAACTAGTGCAAAATTCGTAAGTTGTGCAGATGGAAATAATTTTTTATCACTCTTCATTAATCATGTCCTTCCTCAACATTTTCTGATTCCTCTTCATTAATTATATCTTCCTTAGCGTTTCTAATTTCTGGGCTTCTTGTTCTTGCTCTTTATCTTGCAAAGCTTGATCATAATAAATCAAAAGCTAGTTGAAACTTTATAATTTACTTCCACCTGGTTTAAAAACTCATAATTTTTTCCTTGGTCTTAAGATCTATTTCATTATCATAAAAGTTCTTGATTATTGACTGTTTTTAGTTCAGCATGATTTTGATTATTTATTAGCTTTTCAAAGTGTTAAAAACATTACTCTCTATCTACATTCTACCATCTGCTGTTCGCAGTATTGAAGTTCCTTGTCTCCTTGTTATACTTGTAGCATAAAAAGGTTACTAGTCCAAGCAAAAATATGGCAATAATGCCAACAACACTGAGACTAATTTTTAAACCTAGATTATTGTTAGAGGTTGGTGTCGCTGTTACTGTAGTGGTTGTTGTTTTAACAATGCTAGTGGCGTTGTTTCGTGGAAGAAAAGTATTTTTCTGACAGTCAGACACCGTCACTTGATCCAAGCTAGTGTCTCTACACTCAAAAAGAACAGGATCAAAACTATTAGGAAAGGTTATCTTTGAAAGAGATGGATTATTAGAACAATTCACTCCTACACATTTCTCACTGTTACTTAAATCTAACGCGATAAGTAGATTACTATTAAATTCTAAATAAGCAAGATTTGGACATCCGTAGATGTTAATTGCCGTGAGCAGATTATTAGAGAGTTTTAATTTTTAAGTTTACTCAAATCATACACATGACTTCCGAAAGCATTGATGAAAGAACCATCGATAACTTCTAGATTTTTACTATCATACAACTTCATTGTACCATTAAAATTATTAAAAGAATAATTCAACGTCAGTATATTAACAAATCCTCTTATTATTGCATCACTTAAGTCTAAATTAGTAACCGATGTCCTGTCTGAACTAGGATAATTCTCATCCAAGTATTGAATTAAGTTTGCCTTATTTTACACTTCTCTTCCCTTTAATTGAATTCCAATCACCTCTCTTCTCTTTTTCTTTATCAGAACAGATTCACTCAAATTCTCTTTTATAAAGGAAAAATAACAAAAAGAAAAGGCTGAAAAAATCCTTATGAGGGAAGGCTTGAAAGTGGGTTTTTTTTTCATTCTGAATAATCAATATAAAAAAAGATATCTCAACTGAGAAGTTCGTGTAATTATTATTCACGTGATACAATCAATGATGACACTGCACATAAATAACCTTTTTTTAACTTCACTTTCTCTTACATGTTCTCAGTTTTTCCCGAGTTTTATTTTTAAAAGTAAAGGATAGTATATTAAATCTTATCTTTCTATTTTTTTTTAGTGTGGACAACGAAACAACGTTGAATATCGTTACACAAAAGCTTACGTAGATAGTATACATAACATATTACATATTTCAAATGTACTACATAACGACTAGTTTTATTATTTCTGTTCGTCTATTAACTCTTGTTTTAAATAATATCGAAAAGATATTAAAAGATTATAATGTTCAAATGACCACAACCACAAATAAGGGGGGGTTTTTTTTTGGCACGTTTGCTAAGACAATTCGTAAATAGGCAAAACGCACCATAAAACTTGGTCTATTAGGTTATGTTTTCCAAATTTTCCACTAATATTGTATTAGTTTCTTCATCGATATTTATTTCTCATAAATAGGACTTTTTCATCAATTTAATCGTTTTTACTGTTGTTATACTCTCTACTATTACCAGTTGTTAGGTGACATGCAACTCTCGGACATTTCTTTACTTTTTTTATATCGGTCACCAGTGTCACTAGTAAAAAAGATAAATTCTAGAGAAAAAATCAAACCTTTTTCCTATGGTATACTATATACGCTATGTGCGCTATGTGCCATATATGACCTACCTTCTGGTATATGGTCTAAAAAAATGGTTTTTTTCGAGATTGAAATTTCAAGAAGAATATTACTACTATTTGAGTTATGACGAACCCAAGTCAGCTTGAGACAACAATTTACTTTACCTATGATACCTATATGTATATATAACGTCTCGATGTAGACTATTCAGACTCCTTAACTACCTCTGATCCACTTTGAGTCAACTTTCCAAGCTTCTTTCGGTAGTATTTCTTATATATAATATTACCGTTTATTATATACAGTATATCTAATATAAAGATTCCTTCTTCCATTTTTCTTATATATCACTTACCGAAAAAAATAATTTAAACTTTTCGAAATTATATTGAGACAAATATCTCTTTACTAACTGACACTGAATATACAATGACATAACAAATAATAACATATAATAATATGATATTAGAATATTATAACGATATAATGATACAAATAAATAATAATAATTAATAATTAAAAATTAATAGGTAAAAGTAGTGAAGTTAATAAAGATAATAAATATTAAAGATTATCTTTTGAACTAGTGCAAAATTTGAGCAGATGGAAATAATTATCTCCCTCCTCAGCATTTTCTGATTCCTCTTCATTAATTATGTCTTCCTTAGCGTTTCTAATTTCCGGGCTTCTTGTTCTTGCTCTTTATCTTGCAAAGCTTGATCGTAATAAATAAAAAGGCAGGTTGAAACTTCATAATTTAATTCTGCCTGGTTTAAAAAATTCTTAATTTTTTCTTCTTGGTCTTAAGATTTCTTTCATGATTATAAAAGTTCTTGGCTATTAACTTTTTTTGGGTTAATTCATGATTTTGGTTATTGGCAGTTTAGTAGCTTTTCAAAATATTACTTTCTATATATTATTTCTACCTTCTGATATTTGCAGTACTGGAGTTCCTTGAGTTACTTGTCTCCTAACTCTATACTTGTAGCATAAAAAGGTTACTAGTCCAAGCAAAAAAATGGCAATAATGCCAACAACACTGAGACCAATTTTTAAACCTAGATTATTGTTAGTGGTTGGTGTTGTAGCAAGATGTCCAATGGTTGGCGTTGCTGTAACAGAATTATTTCTAGTGGTTGTTGTTGATTGCGTTTTTTTGCTAGTGGTAGTGGTAATGGTTTGTGAAAGAAAAGTATTTTTCTGACAGTCAAACACTGAAGAATTAGGAAATTTTCACTTGACCCAAGCTAGTGTCACTACAGTCAAAAAGAACAGGATCAAAACTATTAAGAAAGGTTATTTTTGAAAGAGATGGATTATTAGAACAATTCACTTCTACATAATTCACACTATTACTTAAATCTAATTCGCTAAGTAAATTATTATCACATTCGAAATAAGCAAGATTTGATGATCCGAAGAGATTAAGTTCGGTGATCCTATTATTAGAGAGCTTTAACTTTTTAAGTTTACGCATATAATATGAGTGACTTCTACCACTATTGATGAAAGAACTATCGAGTTCTTCTAGATTTCCTAAATTACTTAAATTAATACTACCATTGAAATTATTAAAAGAATAGTTCAAAAACTGTAAATTAACAAATCCACTTATTACTAAATTACCAACAAAATTTTTGTTACTAAGTCTAAATTAATAATCGATGACCTGTTTGAACTAGGATAATTCTCCTCCAAGTATTGAGTTGCGTTTGCCATAATTCTTTTGTTTATTCACTATCATTAAATTCCTATCATCTCTCGTGTTTGTTCTTACACGTACTTAATAAAAAAAAAAAACCTTTCTTTTTTTTTTTTATCAGAACAGAGCTCTTTTTCCCTCTCTTGTAGAAAGAAAAAAAAGACAAAAGGTTGCTAGTTAGTTATTGAAAAAGTGTTCTTAATTCTTACGAGATGAGACAATGAATAATTCCTTCAGTTCGTGTAATTAATTATATTCATCTGATGCATCATATAGTGACACTAGTACACATAAACAATCTTTTTTTTCTCACTTTTTTCCGTTTATTTTTAAAATTGAAGAATAGAATATTAAATTTTACCTTTCTATTGTTCTATTGTGGACAACGAAACAGGGATATTGCGTGTCCTGTGTGTATTACTGTTAGCACAAACATGCACACAGCAGCATAAAAGACGATAGGAAAGTGGAAGACAATTTTTTTTTTTGTAGTGAATAGATTATTATCATGTAATATTTGTGTTATTTATTTAAATGGTTAATATATGATAAAGTTATGATAAAGTAAAATGTTTATTTCTGTTTAAAGGTTTACAAAGTTTTTGGGATCAAACGTGCGAAATAACAAAGAATCTCTCCTAACTTATAAAGATGTATTCAAATACTTCTATCCACTCCTCCCATCCTCAACATTTCTTAAGTTTTCGTGGATTCTATCAGAACATTTTAATACACAGTTTTTTTTTCAATTTGCTTTGGATCCAAAACCTTTGAGTTTTTGGAGAATCGAAAGTTGCAATTTTAATTGGCGGAATCAATATTTTTATAAAACTGGAATCAAATACCAAGGATCAAGAGAAGAGGATACGATGAAGGGAGAATATGTAAAAGATTATGAAGAAAACGATGAGAATGAGGAAAGAATGCAATTCGTTTTGAGCGATGAGGCATTGCTATGTTTCACTTTTCCGAGTTGAAAAGAATGAAACGTAAATTTAATTAAAAATAATAATAATTACAAATTTTAAGAAAATGAAGATAGAGAATTCCTCATTGTCATTATCAATTACCAGCAGAATTATAATACGAACTATTAAAGTTATGGAAGCAACATTGAACAATATTTATGTAAAAAGTTAATAATAGTAAAAATAAAGAAAATAATGAAGAGGAATATAATGATACCTGCCATAATTCAAAAAGGGAATAAAAATTTTAGTAAGTTTTTGGTAATTTCAATTTTAATACTTAAAAATTTTGGTAAATTAATTAAATATTTAATGAAAATGCAAAAAAAAAAAGTGTTTTAAGCTTTTTAAAATTTTTATGAAATAAGAAATAATTCTTTTATGATTTTCATTAATCCGCATTGCAAAAAATCCTATGTAATTTTGGTGCTACCTTTTCAATAACTAAATAATTCTTGAGAAAATGGCCAAAATGTAAATTCTTATTTTAAGAGAAACCAAGGATTGATATTCTTTCCTTTTATTCGTTGGATGTGGATTTTCTAGATCTCAAATTGAATGTTTTTGGGCCTCCTCTTTATTCATAAATATGATCTGCAACTATTATAACTAATTATTTATATTGCAAACTTTACAACTTTTCATTTGAATAATTTACTTGACTTTTTTTAAAAGAATTTTTGGTTGATTAATTTTTATATTTAAAGTTTTTGTACAGTACTCAAAAGTAGTGCCCAAATCAAATTGAATCCCATATATATTTTTATCATATAATGTGATCAAAAAATTTGGAGTTCTAGTCTTATTAACAGGAACGACTGGTCCCAAATAAATATTCAAATTACTAATGTATAAATGATCCCCATCATTCTTGCCTCTCTTATATAAATTTAACTCAAGGATATCAAGACTTTGAGAATTGTACTATAATAATAAAATGAGAATAATAATATTTTATAAGAAATAATTAATAATTAATAATAACTAACCCATTACTGATTTTCTAATAATAAGATTAATAATTAATAGGTAAAAGTAATAAAGTTAATAAAACAAATAAATATTAAAGATTGTCAAATTTTTTTATCCCAACACCATGCCTTCAGTTTCTTTTTGAACTAGTACAAAAATTTATAAGTTGAGCAAGCATATGGAAATAGTTTTTTATCATAATTATATCTTCTTTATCAGCATTTTCTAATTCCTGGGTTTCTTGCTCTTTATCTTGCAAAGCTTGATAATAATAAATAAAAAGGATAGTTGAAACTTCATCATAATTTACTTCCACCTGGTTTAAAAAATCCTTGATTTTTTTTTTCTCCTTGGTCTGGAGATTTCTTTCATGATTATAAAAGTTCTTTGATTATCATAATTTTGATTATTGGCAGTTTAGTAACTTTTCAAAAATTTTAAAAACATTACTTTCTATTTCTACTATTTCTACTATTTCTACCATTTCTACCATTTCTACCATCTGGTATTTGCGGTATCGAAGTTCGTTTTTTCCAAATTTTATACTTGTAACAAAAAAAGGTTATTAGTCCAAACAATAAAATCACAATAATGCTAACAACAATGAGACTAATTATTAAAACTGGATTATCATGAAGTTTGACGGGATTATCGATTGTTTGTGGAATAATAGTATTTTTCTGACAGTCAAATACCGAAGAATTTGAAAATATCACTAGACCTAAGTTAGTGTTCCTACAATCAAAAAGATCAGGAACAAATTTACTGGGATAGGTTATATTTGAAAGAAATGGATTATTAGAACAATTCACTTCTACATATTTCTCACTGTTACTTAAATCTAACATTCTAAGTAAATTATTATTACAATTTAAATAAGCAAGATTTGAACATCCGGAGAGGTAAAGTTGCGAAACTCCATTTTTAGAGAGCTTTAACCTTATAAGTTTAGTCATATTAGAATACGTGTGATCTCGGGAATTATTGACGGAAGAACTATCGAGTTCTTCTAAATTAAAATAACTATCCGAGCCTAATGTAATTGTACCATTGAAATTATTAAAAGAATAGTTTAATTTCTGTAAATTAACAAATCCACTTATTGTTAAATCACCAACAAAATTTTTGTTACTTAAGTCTAAATTAATAATTGATGACCTGTTTGAACTAGGATAATTCACATTCAAGTATTGAGTTGCGTTTGCCATAATACTTTATTTTCACTTTTTTCCCTTATCATTAAATTCCAATTACTTAATCTCGTCACTCTCGTCACTCTCGTCACTCTCGTGCTTAACCAAAAACCTTTCTTTTATTTTTTCTTTATCAGAACAGAGCTCTCATTCAAATTCTCTTTTAAAAAAAAAACAAAAAAAAAAAAACAAAAAAGAAAGGCGAAAAGGTTGCTATAAGAGAAGACGTGAAAGTGGATTTCTTTCATTCTAAATTAGAGATTGACACCATTAACTGTTAATTGTAATTAACCATTTTTAACCAATTAAAATATATAACTATAAAAACTAGTTAACTGGTTAAAGATATTAATGTTAATTTGTATCACACAGATAATCAACTTGAAATTAGAAATCCTTCATTTAATTCATTTAATGGAATCTATTTTTGGAGAACCTGGTAAATCAAAAAACCGTAGGATTAATGAAATTAAATATTTGTTTAACACCTACTGCTGAGCCGCAGAAATTTATGGCAATAATGAAATGTTACGAAAAAAAAAGAATTTTCAATACTTTCTCAAATTGCACAAAAAATATTTAACAATTTCTGCTACTTTAGGATCTACAAAATGTCTTTTAATAAAGCAGAAAATCAAATTAAGTACAAAGCACACTGGATTAGGTTCAAAAATTAGAAATGCTTTTTTTTTTTTAAAAAAAAAAAAATGAATTCGTGTCAATCAAATATAGAATTATATAGAAATTATAGAATTCACATGAAAGAATCCTATTTGCGGATATGGTTATAAACCAACTTTTTATATTACACAAATTGCGTAACACATTTATACTACAATACTACAATGGGAATTCATATAATAAAGAAAACATCAGAAACCCTAAAATATAAAATGTTACTCAATATAAGATTATGAAACCGATTAATTTAGATATCTATAAATACGTGGTTACCTAAATAAAATAAAGGATATAGAAGATATATTTATAATAAATAATTAATAACTTTAATGATACTAACAAAAAATTATTACAATAAAATAGAAAAAGGATGTTATATTTTAGATATGTCAAATTTTCTTTTATTCGATTAGATTCTTTTGGTACTCTTTGAAAAAAAAGAAGGTAGACAAAGAAGCAATAATGATATCAAGATATGGATCGGTTACATTATCGATATTATCAATATTATCAATATTATTCTTTGATTATGCGATATATTTTTTTTGGATTACACAAAAATTCAACTGTTTAATTTTAACCTTATTCAAAAACATTTCGCATATAAAAATATCAAGTTAGTGAATTAGTTTTACTTTTGATAGTTTAGTTGTTATTGCGTTGTATTTTTAGAGTATTTTCGGTACTTGTATAATTAGATTATTATAATTATTACTATTATTTATTTCATCACCTTCGTTATTAAAATAGACATGCCACCATCTACTACTACTTCTTGGTTAGCGAACAGAAATTATGGTGTTGTTATAGACGCTGGAAGTTCGGGTTCTAGGGTACAAATTTATAGTTGGAAAGACCATAGAGTTATTCGAGAAAGTAAAGATAAAGAAGAATTACGTCACTTGCCTGTTATTGAACGAGGTGATGAACACGGTCTTAAATGGCAGAAAAAAGTAGAACCTGGTAATTATTAACTTTTTATTCAATTTTATTCAAAATAAATGAAATACCATTATTTATATAATGTCATTTGAATTATATAATTTTACCATTATTACTATTTTTTATTATACATATATATATATATATTTATTTATTTAATAATTAATTATTTTATTTTATTTTTATTTTAATTTTATTTTAAATATATAGGAATATCATCTTTTGCATCGAATCCTTCACAAGTTGGTGAAGGACATTTAAAAGAATTAATAGATTTCGCATTGGAAGTAATTCCTTATGATCAAGTATCAGAAACACAAATATATTTATTGGCTACCGCGGGAATGCGTTTATTACCACCATCCCAACAAAATGCCATTTTACAAAATGCATGTGATTACATAATGTTTCAAAATAGATTTAAAATGTTTGAAAAATGTTCTGATCATATTCAAGTAATTTCGGGTGAAAAGGAAGGTATATATGGTTGGGTGGCGGTAAATTATTTAAAGGGTGGTTTCGAATTCGATAAAGGAAATCATAATGTTGAACATAATATTCGACGTAATGTTCAACACAATGATCAAAGGGATAATAATAATGATAATAATAATAATAATAATAATAATAATAATAATAATAATAATAATGATAATAATAATAATAATAATAAAAAACATACAACCACTTTTGGTTTTCTTGATATGGGTGGGGCTAGTACACAAATTGCTTTTGAACCTAGTTTAGATGAAGCGAAAAAACATGCCAATGATTTAACTACAGTTACATTATGGACATTAAATGGACAACAAGTTGAATATCAAGTTTTTGTAACCACATTCTTAGGATATGGAACAAACGAAGCTCGTAGACGTTATATTGATAATCAAATAAATAATTATAATGAAAAACATGAAAAAATCATTAATCCAGATTCTTCACGAGAGCAACCTGTTTTCTTGATAGATGATCCATGTTTACCAAAAGATCTTGCTCTTACTGATCGAAATTCATCACCACCTTATTATACATTAAAAGGAACTGGATCATTTGATAAATGTCTTAATAATACATATTCATTATTAAATAAAACCGCCGAATGTGTAGATGAACCATGTTTATTTAATGGTATACATACACCAAATATCGATTTTTCAGTAAATAATTTTATTGGTATTTCGGAATATTGGTATACTTCGGAAGATTTATTTAATTTAGGAGGATCATGGAATTATGAAGAATTTACTGAAAAAGCTAGAAATTATTGTGGAGAAAATTGGAATGAAATATATTCTGAATTTCATCGAGGAGTATGGAATTCATCATCTATAGATTTACCTAGATTAGAAATGCAATGTTTTAAATCTGCATGGTTAATTAATGTATTATATGATGGAATTGGGGTTCCTAAAAATCATAATAATAATAATAACGAAACATTAGAAACATCAAATATGCCAATATTTCAAAGTGTTGATAAAATTAATGATATGCAAGTTAGTTGGACTTTAGGAAAAATGGTATTAGAAGCATCAAGTACTATTCCTTTATTACTTGGACCACGCCCTCGACCTCCACCAAATCCTCAACATCATGGAATTTTAGGTTATTATAATTTTCTGGTGGAATGGATGATGGGAATTTCAATAATAATTATGTTATTAATCGTTATATGGTGGGCATGTACAAAAAAGAATGGACCTTGGATAGGAAGAAGGTTAAGTATTGGATTATTATATTCATGTTTATTATCAAGATTACGAAATGATGGTGGACCGGAATATAATAGATTAGAAGGAGGGCAATATTCACCATCAGCTACAATTGGATGGAAAATAGCAACCACGATAGAAACATCATTTAGAGGATTAAATTATGTTAAATGGAAAATTACTCATAGAATTAGTTCACCTTTTCGTAAAATATTTACAAAGAAAAATATTGAATCTAATGAAAATATGTCATCATTACAAATTGAAGTTATAGATGATTTAGAAGAAATGGTTCAATTACGTGTATCACCAGTTTCCGTATCCGAAACAAATTCTGATACTTCCATAAATATTAAAGATATTTCATTAACGCCACCTATAATAACAGATAAAGCATCACCCACAGAACAATATTTTAATCATTTTCCATCACAAAGATATTTATCAAAGAAAAGATTTAGTGGGGATAGTACAATCCAAAATGGACCGATGGAAGCAATTAACAAAGCATTTTCGACACCAATTAATTTATCTTTAACTGGATTACAATCGAGAAATAATAGTTCATCAAATTTAGTAAAATATAAGGAACGAATTATAAATAGTACTAGTAGTATTAGTTTAGCAACCAACAACAACAACAACAACAACAATAATAATAATAATAATAATATCAATAATAATAATAATAATAATAATAATATAAATAATAATAATAATAATTATAATAATTATAATAATTATAATAATAATATCGGTGAACCTGGATTAATGGAATATGAAGCTACAGATTCAACATCATCTACATTTGATGAAGTAACTTCGAAATATTCAAGTTATCCAAGTTCAAAATCAATACGATCATTTGGTACCCCTTCACCACCAAAAAATTTTATGTTATCATCACCAATAATGATGAATTCACCAATAGAAAGAGGTTATAATAATAATAATAATAATAATAATAACAACAATAATAATAATAATAGTAATAATAATAATGATGATACTAATATATCGGTGATGATACCATCAAATACTAGTAATAATAGTAATAATAGTAGTAATAGTAATAATAGTAGTAATAGTAATAATAATGGATCACCAACCAGATCTAACAATAGAGGAGGAAGAAAGGATAAAAAATAGATGTATTTTATTTATTTGAATAATTAATTTTGTATTGTTACGATATTTTGTGTATTTTTTGAACTATTAATATATAAGATTGGTTATTTATTGTAAGAATATAAGTGATATTTTATTATGTTAATAGTTTTGTAGATAATTAAAATTCTTGAGAAGATAAAAAACATATGTTATTAGAAGTTAAAATAAAGTTTTAATTAAATTAAGATAAAGTTTTAATTAAGAATCATAATATCTCTTAATTAATAGTTGCATATAAAAAGTTAACTTGAAATATACAATTTTATAATCGATGATGCACTAAATAAAACTTACAATTACATCACTGATTATAAATAGTGAAAAATCTATTGAAGAGAATAAAATTGATCAAATTTCTTTATTACTATCACAAAATAGTAATTACAGTCATGAAATATAATAACTTAACTAAATAATAATTGAATAAAATAATGGACTGTATAATACACGAAGGAAATAACTGTATTAATATTTCTTAAAATCCATTTCCGCGTGTATAAAGTGAATTACTTACATAATTGTTAATTAAATTCCTTCTTGCCTGTAATTTAATGAATTTTATTAGTATTTTCTATAAAAATAATGGAACTTACCCAAAGTTCGTATGTTTTGCCAAAGTTTTATTTTATTTTTTTTGTAATTTAAAAGAAAACAAAAAAAACTCCGGGAATCTTTGGTTGACCTGCGTACACTTTGGAACTAGTAAATTCACTTGAGCACTACGATGGCAAATACACAGGTTTGCACATGGTAATTTGAATAATATTGTTTGTTTCTTTTGGTGTCTCGCTGTTAAAACGGGCAAACAGCACAGAACAGTACTCGCGAAGGCAATACTGGTGCTCGCAACAAAGATAACCCTGCAGCAAATTTAGCTCTGGCAGCCAGTCAACATAAAAAACCCTTAAATCTGTTAAAAGAATAGTAAAGTTGAGTAGTCGCACTAGCACCATTATACTGCAAGGCACCCTCTTCACTCCACACTTTGGCACTCGGACAAAGGTTAGACAACGGAATCGTAATAAAGGAAGAAACCAAAAACGTAAATAAAATGGAAATATTTTTTTTTAAGATCATATCATGCGATGATCACTGATTCAATGCTATGTTGTTTATTAACTGTACTATTTATGTTGTGACAATTGAATTTTTTTTGGATGAACGAAGAAAAAAAAATATATTGGTATTAAATACTTTTTAGTAATAATGGGTGCAATTCTACACTACAGAACTCGAGTAGTTTTTTTTCTAAGTTTATGGATATTCGTTATTATTGCTTTCTTTACTCTTTTTTATTATACAGATTCTTCTCCTTCTCTTGAAAATAATAGTATTGGACAAAATAAGAATGAAGAATCAAATAATAATTGGTCACATAACCTTGAAAATAATAACAATAATAATAATGATGACAATAATAATAATGATGATGACAACGACAATAATAATAATGAACAATCGATAATAGAACGACCAACAACGATAACTTCTTCTATAGAATTTAAAGATGTCGAAGTTCTCTTTCATACAGAATTTACTATTAAGTCCGAAGAAAAATTCATGACTTATTTTACCCATAGTGGATATCATAATCAACTTAATGCTTTAGAAAATGCTTTATTACTTGCAAAATTATTAGATCGTACATTATTATTACCTCCCGCTTTACTTGGTCCACCAATTCCTTGGGGAAAATATTCGAAATTATATGAAAGATTACTTACTACCACTAAAACTGGTTTAGAACATTGTAAAAAGATATCAAAAGATTTTCAATTACCGGTTGAATGTTTAAATTATTTTACTCATACTAAAGTATCTTGGGATTTCTTATTGAATATAGAACCTCTTAGAAAATGGCATCCAATTGTTGATAGATGGGAACAATCTTTTGAATGGTTAGAAAAAAATCTTAATATCAATAGAGTTAATGATATTTATTCTATAAAGGATAGTACTTTATATGATTATTGTATTTATGATTCTTCTCCTCCAATGAGTACAGAAACAAATTATTCTACTTCTAAATATAAAAGAAAGATCGATTTAGATTCATTGGCTAAAATTAAGAAGAAAATAATTCATTTTGGTTCTTTATTTGGAATGAATAGAGTAATAGTTGAAAAACCTGAAAATATAGAACATCAAAAATTTATTGAGAAACATTTGGTAACTAATAATGAAATATTATTAAAGATTTCTAATAATATTATTAAACAATTAGGTGGAATAGGAAATTATATAGGAATACATTTAAGAATAACCGATGGATTCTTTATGAAAACAGCTCGTTTAACTATTGATCGAATGTATCATGAAATAATTGATTTAAATACTAATCTTACCCCGGAAGAAGTAGATTTATTGGAAGGAGGTACTCACGAACAAGATATTTTGTTGGATGATACAATAGATTTAGGAGAGAATAATAATTTTAATATTAGTACGAAACAAAAAATAATGCAAAGATCCAAATCCAAAGGAGAATTAAATGATTTAACAAGTAAAGATGAAGAATCCAATGAATATAAAGGTGAATTAAAAAGAGAAGAAAATGATGAGACAAGATCGTCATTCCTCAAGAAATGTCATAAACCACTTCATCCCGATTCCGGAGTTAATACCGTAATCTTCATAGCCACCGACGCAAAGTCACCTCGAACGAATCCATTATTATATAAATTTTTCAATACTTTCCCTTGTGTATTCGTGTTAGATGATTTCGAAAAGGATTTAATTGAAGTTAAATCATTAAGAAATTCAGATGACAAAACTCAATTAGTTAAATATTTAATACCGATGTTAGATGCCATGATTTCAGCCAAAGGAAAAGAATTTTATGGAACTCCTCGATCTACATTTAGTAAATATATTTTAAAAGTATTACGTCCATATACATCACATAATACAGAGAATAATAATAATAATACAAATAATATTTAATCATTTAAATTTAAATTTGATTTTTATAATTTTACATTCTTTTTACTTTATTTATATATCTCAATTTTAATTAAAAAATTTTTTTATTATTATAAAAAAAATATCCAAAGTTTAATTGTGATCATCATTACTTACGTCATACATCATCATATGATACTGTTTAATTTAGCGAGTTTAACTGGTTAATTCATTGATAAAATCGAATATAAATATAGTTCTTAATCTGATTTTAAAAAAGTTATTTTTAAAAATCGCATATATTTTTATGTAATTTGGGAAAGCATTGAAAAATTCTTATTTTCGATTGGCATAGTAGGAATCAAAAAATAGATTCATTGATTAAATTTATATAGTTAAAGCAGTTAACCAAATGACATTAACCAAAAATGTCAAACCAATAAAAGTGACATAATAAAATTACAAATCATTAATTTTTTTCTTTCCCAAGAGTGAAAAAAGTTGCTTCGTTCTGATAAAGAAAAAAAAAGAGAATAAGGATTTTTTTTTTTAGATTAAGTAAAGTACGTGTAAGAACAAAAACACGAGAGTGAAAGAAATAAATTAAGTGATTGGAATTTAATGATATTGAGTAAAACAAAAGCATTATGGCAAACGCAACTCAATACTTGGAGGAGAATTACCCTAGTTCAATAAGAGCATCGATTACTGATTTGGACTTGAGTAATAAAAATTTTGTTGGTGATTTAACAATAAGTGGATTTGTTAATCTACAGAAGTTGAATTATTCTTTTAATAATTTCAATGGTAGTATTAATGTGGTTAATTTTTCAAATATACAAGAACTCGATAGTTCTTCCATCAATAATGCCCGAGATCACGTGTATGCGAATATGAATAAACTTCAAAGGTTAAAGATCTCTAATAATCAGATAGAGAATCTTGATCTCGGAGGATCTTCAAATCTTGCTTATTTAGATTGTACTAGTAATTTACTTTTCGAATTAGATTTAAGTTATAGTTTAAACTTTAAAGAAGTGAATTGTTCTGATAATCCAAAACTTTCATGGATATATTTTCCTAATAATTTTGATTCTGTTATTTTTGACTGTAGGAACACTAAATTTAGTAAAGGTCAAGTGACATTTCCTAATTCTTCGGTGTTTGACTGTCAGAAAAATATTCTTCTTCCCCCAGGAATACAACCAACAAATAATCCTGAAACACCACCCCCTAATGATAATTTAGGTTTAAAAATTGGTCTCAGTGTTGGCATTATTTCCGCGTTTTTGTTTGGACTAGTAATATTTTTATTTTACATGAATAAAATCAGGAAAAAACGAACTTCGATATTGCAAATACCAGGCGATGGAGATGAAAGATAGAAAGTAATGTTTTTTAATAGCTACTAAACTACCAATAATCAAAATCATGAATGAACTAAAAACAGTTAATAATCAATAACTTTTATGATCATGAAAGAAATCTTAATACTAAAATTGACTAAGGAGAAAAAAATTAAGAATTTTTTAAACTAGGTGGAAGTAAATTATGAAGTTTACCAATTCTTTATTTATTATGGTCAAGCTTTGCAAGATAAAGAGTAAGAGTTAGAACCCAGGAATTAGAAAATGCTTATGAGGAAGAAATAATTGTTATAAAAAACTATTTCAATCTGCTCAACTTACAAATTTCAAATTTTGCACTAGTCCAAAGAAAAGGCATAGTGTTGGGATAAATTTGTAATCTCTAATATTTAGTTATTAATTAATTCTCAATATTTATATTTAATAAAAATATTATTAATGTACACTTTTGTTACTTTTTAAAGAAATAAAGCATAGTGTTTATTACCCCCCCACTTTATTGGTTCACCTATTCCTTGGGAAAATATTCTAAATTATATGAAAGATTACTTTACACTACTAAAACCAGTTTAGAACATTGTAAAAAGATATCAAAAGATTTAAATTATTTACTAATACTAAAGTATCTTATTGAATTAGAAAATGGCATCCAATTATTGATAGATGGAAACAATTTTTTGAATGGTTAGAACAAAAATCTTAATATTAATAAACTTAATGAGGATAGTACTTTATATAATTATTGTATTTGTGATTATTCTACTAAATATAAAAAAGAAAGATTGATTTAAAATTCATTTTGGTTTTTTATTTGAAATGAATAAAGCAATAGTTAAAAAACCCGAAAAGTTAGAATATCAAAAATTTATAATAATATTATTAAACAATTAGGTGGAATAGGAAATTATATATAGGAATAAATATAAGAATAACTGATGGATTCTTTATGAAGACAGCTCGTTTAAATATTGATTGAATATATCATGAAATAATTGATTTTTTAGAAGGGAGGTACTCAAAGACCTCAGCATTTAGTGCAGCTTGCGCTTAGGTTTTTTTTTATAACTCCTTCACAAGAAAGGGTGTAACTTTTCAATATTAAAATTTTCTTTCTCTTCCAAAGGGTTTTTTTTATCAAGTACTGAAAGGGTGAGATAATATTAAGTGATTGGAAATTAATGATAGGGAAGAGAAGTGTAAAATAAAACATTATGTCAAACTTAACTCAATACTTAGATGAGAATTACCCTAGTTCAAATAGGTCATCGATTATTAATTTAGACTTAAGTAACAAAAATTTTGTTGGTGATTTAATAATAAGTGGATTTTTTTAATCTAAAGTTTTTGAATTATTCTTTTAATAATTTCAATGGTAGAATTAATTTAAGTAATTTAGGAAATGTAGAAGATCTCGATAGTTCTTTCATCAATAGTGGTGGAAGTCACTCATATTATATGCGTAAACTTAAAAAGTTAAAGTTCTCTAATAATCGGATCACGCAACTTGATCTCTTCGGATAATCAAATCTTGCTTATTTTGAATGTGATAATAATTTAGTTAGAGAGTTAGATTTAAGTAATAGTGTGTGATTTATGTAGAAGTAAATTGTTCTAATAATCCATCTCTTTCAAAAATATACTTTCCCAATAGTTTTGATCCTGTTCTATTTGACTATAGTGACACTAACTTGGGTCAATTGACATTTCCTAGTTCTTCGGTATTTGACTGTCAGAAAAATACTATTCTTCCTCCAAACACCGCACTATAACAGGAACAACCTCTAACAATAATCCTGCAACGTCACACCCTAATGATAATCTAGGTTTAAAAATTGGTCTCAGTGTTGGCATCATTGCCGCGTTTTTGCTTGAACTAGTAACATTTTTATGTTACAAGTATAAAATCAGGAAAAACGAACTTCGATACTGCGAATACCATGATAGACAAAAAGTAATGTTTTTTCACAGCTACTATGCTGATGAGGAAGACATAATTAATGAAAAACTATTTCCATCTGCTCAACTTACAAATTTTGCACTAAGTTCAAAAGAAATTGTGTTGGGATAAAGTTGCAATATTTAGTATATTTAATATATATAAACTTAAAAAAAAAAGTTATGCATGGGTATACGTTAAACTACTGGGTCATTCATCAACTCAAAAAGCCGCATGTAATATTTTTAAATTTATTAATATGAACTACCATATAATTTGTAAAAATTTTATACTGTATACAAAAAAAAATAAATAATAACCTGCTAAATCTATTGTGTGTATAGAGTCATTATCAGAAGGTAATTTAAACGCTATCAGATATAATAATGATAACAATAATCTTAAATAGATAAATTACTCTTTCCGTATTTTTTTCATATTAGGTTAGGTTATTTATTAGTTCAGGTTATTTATTAGTTCAGTTTATTTACTAGTTTAATAGTTTAGGTTATTTACTAATATGGTTATTTATTAGTTTAGGTTATTACGGCAACCTATAATATTTTTATATAAGATGCTTGAGAACTGCTAGTATTTAACCTCGTTCACTTATTTCGTTGTCCGTACTATAAAAAATAGAAAGATAAAATTTAATATATTATCCTTTACTTTTAAAATAAAACTGGGAAAAGACACATAAGAAAAGAAAGAAATTGAAGTTAAAAAACAAATGTGTATCAGTACTCTTTACGTTCCCAGTTTAGGAATTACACCTCGTTATCTTTTTGAAAGGAGGCGATAGAAAATTGACATTTTTTTTTGGCAAGATTAGGAGTGAAAAAACACTTTTTTCAATAACCTTTACCTTTCTTTTTTTTTTTTGCTTTCTAAAAGAGAATTTGAGTGAGAAAGGGATAGAGAAAAAGAGGAGTTTTCTTTTTTTTTGAAACTAAAGAGAGAAAGAGCTCTGTTCTGATAAAGAAAAAAGAGAAGAGTTTTTTTTTTTTTTGATCAAGTACAAATACGAGGGTGAAAGGGAGAATTTAATGATAGGGAAGTGTAAAATAAAGCATTATGGCAAACGCAACCCAATATTTGGATAAAAATTATTTAGACATAACAAATTTTTGTTGGTGATTTAACAATAAGAGGATTTGTTAATTTACAGAATTTGAATTATTCTTTTAATAATTTCGATACATTTAGTGGAAATCTTGAAGATCTCGATGGTTCCTCCATCAATACTTGGGGACCACACTTTTTGTTATGGGTAAACTTAAAAAGTTAGCGAGTTAATAGTGTGAATTATGTAAAAGTGAATTGTTCTAATAATCCTTCTCTTTCAAAGATAACCTTTCCTATTAGTTTTGTTCATATTCTTTTTGACTGTAGGGACACTGCTTAGGTCAAGTGACATTTCCTAATTTTTCGGTGTTTGACTGTCAAGGAAAATACTATTCTTCCGCAAGTAAACCATCAAAGGAATGCAACCAATAACCATTAGTAATAATCCTGTTAAAGTTACGAAACTAGCAACAGCAATTCCTCATACAACGTCAACCACTAACGATAATCTAGGTTTAAAAGTTGGTCTCAGTGTAAGCATTATTGTCATGTTTTTGCTTGGACTAGTAATATTTTCATGCTATGCTACAAGTATAGAATTAGGAAACAAGGAACTTTGATAATGCAATATCAGACGAAGATAGAAAGTAATGTTTATTATTATTTTTATTTAAATTTACGTTTCAATTTGGAAAAGCAATGGCCTCATCGACAAAACGAATTATATTTTTTCCTCATTCTCGTTATTTTCATAACACATTCACATAGGCCATCAACATTAAACTAAAAGAAGAATGCTGGTATTTACCCTAGTTCCAATATCCTTGTTTCGTTGTCCACACTATAAAAAAGAATAGAAAAATAAATTCAATATACTATACTTTTAAAAATAAACCCAGGAAAAGTGGAGGACACGTAAGAAAAAGTGAAGTTAAAGAAAGATTGTTTATGTGCAGTGTCACTATTGATTGCAGATTAATTATACGAACTTCCCAGTTGAGGATTATTCGGATTATCTTTTTATATTGATTCATAAGGGTTAAGAACACTTTTTTCAATAATTAACTTTCAACCTTTTGCCTTTCTTTTTTTTTTGTTTTTTTTTTTCCTTCTAAAAGAGTGAGCTCTGTTCTGATAAAGAAAAAGAGAAGAGAGGGTCGAGAGAAGTGTAAAATTAAGCATTATGGCAAATGCAACTCAATACTTGAATGTGAATTATCCTAGTTCAAACAGGACATCGGTTATTAATTTAGACTTAAGTAATAAAAATTTTGTTGGTGATTTAACAATAAGAGGATTTGTTAATTTACAGAAATTTGAATTATTCTTTTAATAATTTCAAAGGTAGTATTGTTTTAAATCTTGAAGATCTCGATAGTTCCTTACGTCAATACTTACGGAAATCACAATTATGACGATATGACTAAACTTAAAAGGTTAAAGCTCCCTAATAATCGGATCGAGGAACTAAATCTCACCGGATCATCAAATATTGAATGTAATAATAATTTACTTACCGAGTTACAGTGCGAAATATATAGAAGTGAATTGTTCTACTTCTTTCGAAGATAACCTTTCCCAATAGTTTTGATCCTGTTCTATTTGACTGTAGTGACACTAGCTTGGGTCAAGTGAAATTTCCTAATTCTTCAGTGTTTGACTGTCAGAAAAATACTTTTCTTCCAAAACCACTACCACTAGCACTAGCAAAAGAATACAACCAACAACCACTATTAAACATCTTGCTACAGCAACACCAATCACTGACAATAATTTAGGTTTAAAAATCGGTCTTAGTGTTGTTGAAATTATTGCCATTTGTTTGCTTGGACTAGTAACTCTTTTATGCTACAAGTATAGAAATAGGAGACAAGGAACTTGAGTATTGGAAATATCAGGTGGTGGTGATGGTAGATAGAAAGTAATTTTTTTTGAAAAGCTACTAAACTAATGCAGTTAATAACCAAGAACTTTATAATCATAAAAGAAATCTTAATCCCAAGAGGAATTTTTTAAACCAGGTGGAAATAAATTATGAGTTTCAACTAACTTTTTTTATTTATTATGATCAAGCTTGGCAAGATAAAGAGCAAGAAGCCCAGGAATTAGAAAATGCTGATGAGGAGATATATTAATGAAAGTGATATGATAAAAACTATTTCCATCTCAACTTACAAATTTTGCACTAGTCCAATAAAACTGAAGGGATAAAATTTATAAAATTTAAATATTAAATTATTAATTACTAATTATTCATTAATATTTCTTATTTTATTTGTATTTATATATATATTTACTAATTATCTATTAATATTTCTTATCTTATTTGTATTTAATATATTATGGATATTATTATATTATTAATGTATTAATGTACACTTTATTACTTTTTAAAGAAATAATACATAAACTCAAAAAAAAAGTTAGGCATGTAATTTTTATTACCTCCCACTTTACTTAGTCCACCTATTCCTTGGGGAAAATATTCTAAAATTATATGAAAGATTACTAAAACTGGTTTAGAACATTGTAAAAAGATATTTATTGTATTTATGGTTCTTCTCCTCCTATGAATAAAGAACAATTTATTATTCTACTAAATATAAAAGAAAGATTGATTTAAATTCATTAGCTAAAATTAAGAAGAAAATTCATTTTGGTTCTTTATTTAGAATGAATAGAGTAATAGTTGAAAACCTGAAAATTTAGAACATCAAAAATCTATTGGGAAACATTTGATATCTAATAATGAAATATTATTAAAGATTTCTAATAATATTATTAGATAAACAATAATTATAGGAATACGTATAAAAATAACTGATGGATCTTCAAATCTTGTTTACTTAGCACGTTAGATTTAAGTAACAGTGAAGTGAATTGTTCTAATAATCCATTTCTTTCAAATATATAACCTATCCTAATAAATTTGTTCCTGATCTTTTTTGACTGTAGGGACACTAAATTGAATCAAGTGACATTTCCTAATTTTTCGGTGTTGAAAAATACACCACTACTATCACAGAAATACAACCATTAACAATAATCCTGCTATAACGGCAGAAATGACACCCTTAATAATAATCTGGGTTCAAAAATTAGTCTAAGTGTTGTTAACATTGTTGCCATTTTTATGTTTAGATTAATAATCTTTTTATGCTACATATATAGAATTAGGAGACAAGGAACTTCAATACTGTGAATAGTAAATGGTAGAAATGGTGGATGTTTTTAACACTTTTGAAAAACTACTAAACTGCTAATAATCAAAATCATGATTGAACTAAAAACAGTAACCAAGAATTATGAAAGAAATCTTAAGACTAAGAGAAAAAATTAAGAATTTTTTAAACTAACTGGAAGTAAATTATGATCAAGTTTTACAAGATTAAGAGCAAAAAAATTATTTCCATTCGCTCAACTTACAAATTTTTTTATTACCATTCGAAAGTTCTTATTTCAGCTTTTCTAATGATGGTAAAAATCATCAATATTTGTCGAGTTATTTGCTGAGAACTATTAGCTCTTGAATACATTAGGTCCGTGTTTAAATGAAGTCATCAAATTACTTATACCGGAAATTATCAGTAATTACTACCTACAAGAGATTTCTTTCTTGGTTAATGAATGAGAAAGTGAAGCAATAAAAATATATTGCTAATATGTATTAATTGATAAACGTCATTAAAGAACTCCTAAATCTTGTGATTAGTTTTTGTTGTAAATCTTCCAATTTCACCAACCAGTCACCAATTACCAATCATAACTGTAATTATTACCAATATTATATCTTTTAAAACGTAAAAAAACATGTATCACACTTTTTTACTATAAATTATGATCCGTACAAATTCAGTAACTCCCGCACCATCTCCAGCAACACTTTCAACTACGTCGAATACTTTGAACAATGGTTCTTCAACTGATGTAGTTACACCTACGCAACAACAGCCTTCATGGGAGTTTTTGCGTAAACAAGCTCGTCAGTTAGAGAATGAAATAGAACAAAAATTAACTAGTTATAGTAAACTTGCGGCACAAGTTGGGAGAAATACGAATGGTGTTAGTTCAGTGAGTTTAGGTAGTGGGCTATACGGGGATAATGGTTTATCTGGAAATTCTAGTGAAGCCATGGAATTGGAACTAGAAGAATTAATTAAAAAAGTAAGTCTTGATATTTATTCTTTAATATTTTTTAGAATTTTGAATTTGAATTTTTATGGTTATCACTTTTATCTCTTCTGCTAATAATTTGAATTTGAATTTGAATTTTTTTTTTTTTTAAGTTGACTTCAGTGGTAAATTCCATGGCAGATGTAGTAGATGGACCATCATCATCAACATCAAATCCATCAATGATGCACATGTTGCAAAGACATCGAGATATTTTGTATGATTGTTCAAAAGAATTTAAAAAAACTAAAGTAAATAATAATATTCAAAGATAATAATGTGTAATAATATTCTGGAGTTGATAAAAAATTTAAATCTTATTTATTTTATTTTAAATACAAAATTTATACAAATTTAGGTAAATATCCAAGCAGCAAAAAATCATTCAGATTTGTTAAGTTCTGTGAGAGATGATATAAGGTATTATTATTATTATTAATAGATAATAAAATAAATTTTATTATAAATTGAAAATTGATTTCTAATATTTTTTTTTATTTAGTTCATTCAAATCAGGTGCCAGTAGTGAAACTGACTATTTTTTAAATGAAAGAGGTCGAATTGAAAGTTCTCATAGGATGACAGATATGGTTCTTGAGTAGGTTTCTTTGTTAATTTTTATGGACAATAGAATTTATGATAATATTAAATTTATTAGAAGAAACCATAATTTATTATTTATTTATTTATTTATTTATTTGTTTATTTATTTATTTATTTTTTGTCACACCAATCCAACATTCTGTTTAATATAACAAACCCTGCGATTTTATAAATATTATTTGAAATATTGTGAGAAATTTGATAGCAGTTAGATTAATAGGTTGATCTACATCAACTATTTTAAAGAATGAGAGAAAAGTGTGAGGAAAGAAGATTAAGATTATGTTAAACAAAGTATTGGATTGGTGGATCAGTTCGCTTTTTTTTTATTATTATTAAATTTCCTATTTTTTTTTTTATTTATTTAGGCAAGCATTTGAAGCAAGAGAAGAAATGGGAAGGCAAAGAGGGACATTATTGAATATTAACAATAGAGTGAATCACGTCACAAGTATGTTCGTTTTTATGATAATAAGTTATTCATAAGTTATCCATAAATTAACTTTGTCTTATTCCAATAAATATTCGTGAAAATTCTTCGTTCCCTTTTTTTTTTTTAGATTTATTTCCTGGTCTAAATAATATAATAAGACGTATTCATACTCGAAAATCACGGGATACTATTATATTAGTAGTAATAATTTCATTTTTTATTATTCTTTTATTTTTGTATACAAGATAATTTTTTTTTCGGCGATTTGGTTAATTAGACGTAGACGAAATTTAATTAGATAATTAATTTAATTGTATAATATTATGACATCACGATGATTTTTGCAAATATATTAATTTTGTTGTCCCACAATTTTAATCGATACAATGACGATTAATTTAAGGATAAAATTATTTAGAAATACAAACTTTTTTTATAAATTTTCTAAACTTGCAGTTTCGCAAGTTTTAAAAAATAATTATAATATGTCGTCTTACGCAAAAACATCTATTAAAAAATCCGATAAAGTCGCTCATTTCCAACAAGATGGTGAGAAATTGAGAAAATCGTTTTGAATTCGTAAAGGGTTTTTTGCACGAATTAAATACCTTGTCATCGTTTTCTTCGTTTAAAATAATAGTATGGTCTATTTTCACACCACTTGCTGCTCAACTCAATGCCATAAATTTAGGACAAGGCTTTATGAAGTAATTATTCAATTAGAATGGTTCAACAATGAATATATTGAAAAAATTAAAAAAAAAAAAATTTTACCAGTTTTCCACCAGAAGAATTTATTAAAGAAGCTGCCCGAAATGCTATTTCAATAGACGAATGCCATCAATATAGGTTAGTCACTAAACCAATTCTTAATTATTATTTTTTTTTTAGATAAAAAAAAAACAAAAAAGATTTAGTAATGTAAAATAATAATAATAATTCAAAAATTTTATTTTAGTCATCCAAAAGGTAGATTGCACACACGACAAGCGTTGGCAAAAACTTATGGACCCTTATTTAATCGAACTTTAGATCCTGAATCTGAAATAATAACTACTGCGGGTGCAAATGAAGGTATGTAATAAATATTATTTCGTTATATAAAGAATTCAAATATCAAGTAATAATATAATAATAATAACCATCATCATAATAATCATTATTATTACTTTATATATTACTTTATTAGGATTATATTCAATTTTTGCTGGATTTATAAATGAAGGAAATGAAGTTATTTTAATTGAACCTTTCTTTGATCAGTACATTGTGAGTAAATATTTAAATAATTTATTATTATGATGCATTTTTTTTTAATGTAAACTAAAAAAACTTCAAACAAAAAATTACGCAAGTCAAATATTACTATGAATGGTGGCGTCCCCGTGTACGTTCCATTAAAACCATACGGAGATGCTAGCAAGATAATGTCTTCACGTGATTGGAAATTGGATATTAATGAACTTCGATCTAAAGTCACACCAAAAACGAAACTCATTGTTTTTAATACACCACATAATCCGGTGGGAAAAGTATTTTCCAAAGAAGAGATGGAAGAAATTGCTCAAGTAGCGAGAGAGTTTAATTTATTGTTAGTGAGTGATGAAGTGGTAAATATTTTTATTTTTTATTTTTTATTTTTATTATTTTTTTATTTTTATTGATAATCAAATAATTGTCTAACAAGCAATTATTAATAATTCCGTAGTATGATCGACTTTATTATAAACCAGATGTACACGAGCGTATTGCGAATCTTCCAGGGATGTGGGAACGAACTATTACTGTTGGAAGCGGTGGAAAAACTTTTGGTACAACTGGATGGCGTGTTGGTTGGTTAATTGGTCATAAAGAATTAATAGCGACCGCACTTGCTGCTCATACTAGAGTTGTATTTTGTGTAAATTCGCCACTTCAGGTTAAAGATATTTTTTATTACTATTTTTTTTTTTAAATTCTAATCAATTTTCACTAAACTATTTTGCTGGTCATTTTACTAACGAGATATTTCAAAAATAAAATAAAATAAAACAGGAAGCTTTGGCTGTATCATTAGAATGTGCAGAAACGAATGATTATTATGAAAATAATATTGCAAAGTATGAAGCAAAACGTGAGAAATTATGTACAGCTTTATCAGATGCTGGACTTCCATATACCATTCCACAGGGTAGTTACTTTATTCTTGCTAATTCAGCAAAAATTCAAGTTCCCGAAGATTACGAATTTCCCGAAATAATTAAGAAAAGACCCAGAGATTTTAAAGTATGTTATTGGATGGCCAAAGAAATTGGAGTAGTAGCAATTCCACCAAGTGAATTTTATTGTGAAGAAAATAGATATCTCGCAAAAGATTATGTGAGATTTGCATTTTGTAAGACGGATGAAACTTTGGATGCGGCCGCAAAAGCTTTATTAAAATTAAGAAATTATATTAAACAATGAAATATATCAATAAAATTTATACAGTGACATTCGATCGCGTAAAGTTTAAATCGTGATTTTTTTCTTCAATAAGAACATTATTTTAGATATAAAATAATGTATATAAATGTACATTATATGTAATTATACAAATATATTAAATAAAGGCTCTAAGCCGATATTAATTTTCTCACACGGAGCCACCCGGCTTATACAGTATGTGTATAAATAAAAAAATAAACTCGTCTTTCAAGCAAGGTATCATGATTTATACTTGTTTTTTTTTTACTTTTTTTTTTACTTTTTTAACTTTAATTCAGGAATTGGTCAGGGCAATAAAGTTATTTATTATTATTATTATTATTATTATTATTATTTGTGTTTATTACAAAGAAATTTGACCTCTCTAATTGATATTTTCATTGTATTTTTATTGCAAGTGGTTCTTCAATTGCATCAATATATATACATAACAGTATAAAATATAATTATTTATATTATTTATTATTTATTATTTTATCTAGACAGTTTTTCATTCAAAATAATAATATTACTTACAGTAAATATTTGTAACTTTATTATTAATTACATAATGAATGCATAAAATTGTAAATTAGAATTTTAGGTTAAGTGAAAAAAAAAATTCATGTTATCCCTACAAAACAAAGTTCAAAAATTTTGAATTAAAGTTTTTTTATAAACAAACATATCAAAAAACATTTTGTTACACATTTTATATTATTTTATATTGAAAAATCAACGTGAGTAAATTATAAAGTTTAACCCATGTAAAACCCACAAACTTAAATTCAGGTTGATCATTGCAGTAAAAAAAATATTTGTTCACTTAAAAAAATAAAGTTTTAAACTGTATCTTTGGTTTCACACCATATGATATCCATCACTTAAGGATGAGATTGATCAGTAAATGTAAAACAAAGAAGTCTAAATTTGATTTTTTTTTTTTTTGGATGAACTTTTTTTTTTTAAAAAACCAACAGAATTATCATTTGCACCGACTATTATTGACTATTATTGGTATTAATCATATCCACTAAATATCTCATCATATTACTATCATAAAGACGCGCATATTTATGTACACATGTACATTCTTAAGCATATTATTTCAATTACACGATCGCATTCCACGAAATTACCACGCAGGTAATGATACACATGAGATAAATATTCAACCAAATCTGTAATGATTGCAACGATTGCATAAATTTCATATAAATAATCTCTCCGAAAATTCTTCAAAATTCCGAACTTTGAAAAAAATTTTTTTTAGTCATTGTACCTTTTCTACATTTTTACATATCCATTATCATTATTATCGGTACTATCATTATTAATCTCATTTAATTCATCAATCATTAATCATTAATTGTCACGCTAATGTTATACTTGTTAATGTAATACTTGTTAATGTGATGTATACCTGCTTTATACTAGTTTGACACTGGGCTGACATTGGACTAACTCAGGACCATTCCAGCCAATTTATTTAATAAGCGATTCCACATGAACATTTTTTACATTTTACTAATAAATGCATTTTATAAATAATTATAAAATAATTTTATAAATTGGTTCATAATTACTTCAATATTGCTATACAATCAATATTTCAACAAGAGCATAGTTTAAAAAGTTTAAAAAGTTTAAAATTCAAGGTTCTAAAAATAAATGTTTTAAATGATGGGAATTTAAAATTATTCACTAAAACTCTCTCGGACTTACATATGTTATTTGGAATTTGGAATCTTTAAACTATACTCTATTTAGACTATATCTCTATTTAAACTATACCTCTATTTAAACTATACCTCTATTTAAACTATACGCTCTAAATATTCACTCTATTTCAACTCTATTTAATCTATTAACTCTTTTTTTCTCTAAAATTTGTTGGTGTGACAAATACAAATGTCATTTGATTGAACATTTCCCGCCACAAGTTTTCCCGCCAGTTAACACGGAACGCAAACAATATATTTAACCGTATTAATCAAACGATACGGCAACAATAACTTATTAAAACCATCCGCTAAAGAGAATGTACAATATATAGAATTTGGAATTTAGAAGGTTTGAAATTGCTGTAATATAAAATGGTTTGTCAATGATGTACAAATGTTACATGTACTAAATTGTATATTATTCTCAATCTTCTATACTTCTAACTTCGAGTTATCAATTGCTCCTCACTTTACACAATGTTGATTAAAACATATTAAACAATTTATCAATTAATCTTTATTCATAATTTTATATCCAGGCATTATTATTACAATAAACTCGGTCTATTAATTAGGTTTATATTTGTTATCTTGCCTTGAATACAATTTATAGCTTTATTAGGAAGCTAAAAAAAAAAAACCAAAAAAAATATTTCCAATATTTTATTCTTCTTACAAAAGAAATAGTAATATGGCGTTAATTCAAATGCACGATAAATTTATTAAAAAAAATCTCACGCATTTACCATTATTTACCGTAGGTGACACCATCAAATAGCTAATCATGACTAGAATAAAGGAGATTTTTTGATCTCATTAGTAAGCAATTACTCAAAATGCTTTTTTTTTTCATTTATGCTTCTTTCGCCTTGGTGGTTCCTCTGTTGTTGGCTTGCAAAGGTAAAATTACAGGCACATCAAATGATCAAAAAATCAAAAATTTAACATGTATATACCTATTTACATCTGTTTTTTTCTCATTTGACCTGTCTATTTACAGATCATTCATTCTTATTTTGTCTATTTACACAAGGTTAAATGATAGGATGATTTGTGGAGATTTTGTAGATAATTTGTAAACTGACAAAAATATTTTGCAAATAGACAAATGCAAAAAAAAAATTTTTTTTACCACTTTTTGATTTATTTGACATATATATTACAAATCATCATAAAATCATCCTTGCCTATTTGTAAATATTTCTAATCAATACTTACCCAAAAATTATGTAATTTTTTGGTAACAATTTAATATAAATAATTGAAGTCTCAAAACACATATCAAATGATCAAAAATTTTATTTGCAAATATTTATGAATGATCTACAAATCTCCACAAATCAACCTTATTTCTTTCATAAAAAAAAAATTACCCGTTTTTTTTTCATCATTTCAATATGTGAAAAGTTATTTGTATATGACATTCTGCAACGTCTTGAAGAATATTTATAGTTTTCTGTGATGGTTTGGTATTGGTCAAAAATCCGTTTTTTTTTTTTTTGAATTATCTAAAATTTCAACTTCAAATTCTTTGCTTTTGAGGTTTATAATTTTTGCACAACTTATTACTACTTACAAAAGGAAGAAGATTTAAAAAAAAAAAAAAATTAAAAAAAATTACAATAGATTATAAACTAATTATATGTATAAAAAATATATGATGTAAATTATTAAAGTTTTTAAGAAAATTAATAAAAGTAAAAAGGTCACCCATATATTTAAAATTTTATTAATTTTTATCATTTTTATGTTGATTCTACACGTTTATTATTTACAAATAAAATGTGAAAATTAATTTAGATTTTATTTATCTAATTTTTTTTGGACATGTTCTAAATTTTTGAAGGAACAACCTAAATGTGCCTTGAAGGAATGCCAAGACTGCAGAACTTTAGAATTTTAGAAGACAAACCAGTCTTGGTTGATGATCATCCCAGTCGCACAAATAATATTGTATATTATTGAAAAATAATCTGATATTCGTATTTTCACATTTTTGTTTTAAAACATTATTATTATCTGAATCATCTGATTACTCATTAATAAAAAAAATAATAAGGGGAAATATTATTGTTGTAAAAAAAAAGAAAGAAAAAAGAAATTTTTTTATTCAATTGTCCGTTCTTTAATCAATCAATGGCTTAATTTTTTGAGTTTAGAAGCTTATTCCAAAAATAGATTTAAAATGTTAAAAAAAATGTTCGATTGGTGCTTATGATGATTATTATAATGTTCATGCGAAAAAAAAAAAAAATCTTAATGTGTAATTGGTGGTATTATTTTTCATTGATTGCAGCTTATACGATAATCCCCATCATCACCCTGTTTTGTAATAATCCATTTTAAATGTTCAGGATTAACCCATTGTTGCATATCTTCAGGTGAGATTTTATCTATTCCAAGATATTGCAAAATTTCTGAATCATCGATTATGGTGGGTGGATGAGGTTGAAACGAAAGGAATTGAGTAACCCTATAATTAAAAATTTCAAGTATTAAAATTAATTTTATCACTGAAAACATGTGATGGAAACTAAAATAAATAAATATATATATATATATATTTATATTTATATTGTAACTACCCGTCTTGAGCAGTCTGAATATTGACGGAGGTTTCTCGAGGACAGTGTATCAATTTGAAAGGAAGATACACTTCTTTTTCGGATTTCAACTTATTTGAAATTCGATAAGGATTTTGCCGAAGTTTGTTCCTTCTCATGAGATTTCTGATATGAAGGTGCTATAATAAATAATTAATAATATGAGTGTTAATCTTAATTATTATTTTTAGTTGACTTTAAATAATTTACCCGAGCTATTTTGTTCTGGAAGGCGACCTTTGCTTTTTCCACTCGTTCACACAAGCATCGGTTTTGTCGCTATTTCGTGATTTCATACATACATATATAATTCTAATTAGTAAATGTTATCTATAAACGAATAAATAAAATACATAAAATACATAGAAATACATGAAATATTTTTGCTGATATAAATTACCTCCAATTCTCTTAGCTCAGATTTTTGCCGTTCAATTTCGACCTCTGTCGTTCCAGACGATGAAGCCAATTTATTATCAATTTTTTGCCCTGGTAAACCTAACCACCTAATTTCTTTTTTATCTTTTGCAATAATGTCCATTGCCATCAATACATTCAATGCATCATACACACGACGTCGTATATTTTTCTGATCCACCACTTTATTCTAAATTAATATTTGAAAAACAATTTATTATAATTATAATATCTATTTATCGTTAATTACTTTATTATAAGAATTCATTAAATATTTTTACTCACCCCACCATGTTCTTGTGATTGGGCTGCAAAACCTTCAGCCAATTCATCTGCAACCTGATGTGCACAATACAGAATTGAGAATTGTAAATGTAAATGATTTTTTGATTACATAAAATTCATCCATTTGTTATATAAACAAAACGATTCCCATCAAAATTACGCGTAATATGCGTAATATAAAATAAAATTTCGAAAATTTACCTCATTGTACGTAGTTACTCCTTTAAATTCTACTTTATCACATACTTGTTTACTAAAATGCCTTAATCCTTTATTTTGGCGTAATATTTGTTGCTGTGGGACTGGTTCACCAAACATGCTTCCGGTATCATCACTACTATCATTAGTCGTGACTGGTGAACCTTTGGGTGATGTGCTCATGGTATTAATGGGAGTGATTTGTTGTGGCGATAAACATTGTGTAATCCCACTACTATGTATAGAAATATAAATATAATATTATATTATATATTATTAAATAATTGTGAAAGTAAAAAAAAAAATTAAATTAAATTAAATAAATAAATAAATAAAAAAACACGAATTAAAAAACGAAAAAAAATGCATCAAAAAAAATGAGAGAAAACCCTAAATATAATTGATACATTTGATATATATTATTCCTTTAATAAAAAGAATAAAGAATACTTTACCTATCAATATACCCATTACTACCACTACTATCACTATCTCTATCTTCATCTTCCCTCCTGTCATTATATTTTGATCTTTTTGCGTTGATCCGTTGTCCATCTTTAAATAGATCATCATTGTTTTGCAAAATCTGGGATAAGGTTGAAGTACGACAACGCGTCTCCATGCTTTTGTTCATGGGTGGAGGTGTCGTTAATCCAGGTTTTTTCGACAATTCGATCTGCGATGGTCTTTCAAACGTAAAGCCATTCATCATAGTAGGAGAAGTAAATGCACTATGTGGTAATGAAGGATGATCAATTGTACCATATTCCATAACGTGATAATTAGGTTCGCTGCTACGTCTTAATTCAAGTCTTCGTCTATTGGTAGTAGTTGATAGCTGTTGAGGTGATAATAACACGTCATTAGGAAAGTACATGCCATTCATCGACGTGTTGTTTAAATTATTGATTAATCGAGATGACGTGTTTATTGGAGGAAGAGTGTTGTTTTTGGGAAAACAATTTCCGATTGGTAAAGAAGAACAAAATTGAACGTAAAGAGGATTTGACTGATTATTAGCGCTTATCAAGTGAGCCTGGGGGTCACTGGAGTAAACACAATGACGTGGGGGAGGGGGTGGAACAGTTGTAGACGGTGTCGTATGCGTTGATACTGAGTGCGAAGTTAACATGAAAGGTGGTGGAGTTGCCATTATCAAAATGTGCTATAAACCGATATTAAAGTCGATAATCGAAAAGAAAAGAAAAAATAAAAATAAAAATAAACAAGAAATTATTTTGCCAGAAATTTTTTTTTTTTTGAATTATTGTTCAGATAAAAAATAGATAAAATTAATAAAATTAAGAAATTTAATAAATTTTTTGTATTTTTGAATTATATTTTATAATTTTTTATATAATTTTATTTACACACTCCCTTTACAAGTCTATATTATAGTAAGTAAAGTTGATAAAGAGTTCTTTTTTACGTGAACACTTTTAACAACCAAAATATAAAGATTATTTATACGAAACTAAATACGAAGCGTCATGAACTCGGCACGACTTTCTAAAATAGATATTTTTTAATATTATATGTATAGATAGTAATATAATAAAATAAAATAAAAAAGAAAAGAAAAAAAGAAACGAAAAGCGAAAGGGATAAAAACAAAAAGACCGAAGATGGGAAAGGGAGTGAAGTAATAAAAAAATCAACAACACACTGAAATCTCAAATAAGGTAAACCAAAAAATCTAAAAAAATCTAGAAAAAAAATTTTAAAGTTGATATGAGTTACATTGATTTTTGGTATGTTACTTGGCGGGATCAATATACACACAACCCTATTCTCTGTGTACAGTCTAAAGAAATTAAAATAATTAAAATTTTAGAATCTGTATAAAGTAAGACACACACACGCACAGCGATTATACTGTGTGTTACTGTTTATTTAGACTCTAATATTATATTATTTTATATATATTTTGTAAATATAAATTATATTTTACTGTATATTATATCATATTTTATCATATCATGTTCTATAATATTCTATTATCTATTGTAAAAAATATTTTTTATTTATACAGTTTATTCTATTATTAGCATAATATTTAAAAAATTTTTTATTATATTATTGTCTTATTGTTATATATAATGTATAATATGTCATATTATAATGTATCATATAAAGTATATTGTCATATAACGTATATATTGTAATATTGATCAAAAAAAAATTTTTTTTTTTTTTTCGAATTTTTGCTTATTTGCTGTAAAGAGGCTTATCAATACTAAACGTCAAAACTTTTATTGCATTTTCCTTCTCTTTCAATGTTTTCTAAAGTTCAAGACAATATCATTTGAAAACAAAGAAATTAATAAAACTCTCATATGAAATTGCGAAATTTCATTAGAAGTGTCATTTTTGTATTTTTTTTCTCCCCACATAATTGCATATTGGTACAAAAAGAAATGTATTATACAAAAGTCCAAAAGATATACAGTTCATTTAGTATAATAAAAGAAAGAAACAAAATCAATAAAAAGGGCGCAATGACTGATTATACAAATATATTAGTGTGGTTTTTTTTTTAAACAAAATAAATATCTACGATTGTACATCATAAATCCATTTAAATACTAAACCATTACCAAATGTGGTGTCATTTAAAAAAATTTTACGCTCCTCCCGTTTACCCCTGTGGAACACTCTCATTTAATTGGAGTAAAAATAATTATTTAAAAAGGGACAATAAATAGTAATACTGTTATTATAACTTATTTTTTGATCCTTTATCTCTAGTCCAATTCATCCAATTTTTCATAAACCGATTCTACTATTAGCATTACTAACATTGATTAATTTCAGAATTCACACCACCATTGACCTTCTGTTTTGGTTTAGCTGGTGGCTTTGGTCGGTGAGTATCAACAGCATCAATATCAACTTTATATCTAACCTCTTCACAGCTATATGCTTTAGGTGTCAATTTTATAACAGTGTGAAGAGGAATTTTTATATAAGGCAAGTCTTCTTGAGACAAATTTTGAAAATATCCGTAAATGCAACGTAAAATGGCTTGATGGCCAATTATCAAGATATTTTGTTGTCTCTCAAGTTCCATTATAACTGGTTCTAGTCGAGAGACAACATCTCGATAGGACTAAAAAAAAAAAAATAATAATTTAAATCATCAAAAAAAAAAAGTATCAAAAAAAAATATATATATTGAAAATCATCCGGAATCTCACCTCACCACCACGGTATCTATAATTAAATTTGTCTTCATCTCGATTAGCATAATCTTCAGGATATTTTTTCTAATAAATTCGAAAGAAATCGATTTATATTAGCCAATCAAAATAAAAGTCTCACATCCCGTGAAATGAGATAATCACATGCAACGTGTATCATTCCACAAACCTCAATTTCTTCATAAGTCATCCCATCACAACTACTTGCATCTAATTCATCCAATGCCTTCCATTGTAATTTTGGATAGGGCAAATATTCACTAGTTTGTATTGTGCGTTTCATTGTTGAAGTCCATACCTAAAATAAAAGAAAAATTATGGCGAATTTTATTTTTAAATTATTTTAAATTTAATTTTAAATTATAAAAGGAAGAAAACAATATACTTCTTACGGTTAAAGGTTGATCACCCAAATTATCTTTAATAAGTTTTGGTAATGCGAGTGCGTATTTCTTGCCACGAGGTGATAGATCCGAATCACCTCCTATTTTACCCATAAGATTGTAAACGCTTTCACCATGCTAATAATAATAATAATAATAATAATAATAATATTTTATATATTATATATATTATATATATATATTATATATATATATCATTTTATCATTTATATTATATATATTTCTCTTAGTGAACTTAATTTTTCTTTAATTTTAAAATTATGAAATGACATTACCAATACTAACCCTACTAAAGAAAATATTTCTAGGTAAAATATGTAAATTCATAAGGTAGAACACAATTCGACTTTGCAAATATCCTTGAATCATATTGATAACTACTTGACTTCCAACATTAATAAGTTTTATATAAGTGGAATCACTTTCTGTAATAGGTTCATAAGCTTGCTCATAATGAGAAATTCTAGCACGAAAATCTTCTGCTGCCTTTTCAGGATCCATATTCTTATAATCAGGAGAACTTAATTTTACATCCATAATATTCTCCAAGATAATATTTTCATCTTGACATATAGACTCTATAAATATGACTTGAATATCATATTTCTTACAAAATTCCAAAATAAAATTACGCCTATCTCGAGTTGAATTGGTTGCATCAAATAAAGCAACCGTACCATTCTCCTTTAAAAACCATTTTTTCATATCCTCAAGAGCTTCAATAGCTGCTTCTTTACGAGCAATCTCACCTAATACATTATTAGGATCGAAAAATGAATGCGTTTGATTTGAACCATGAAGCTTGCGTCGATAATTTCCGACATTAAATACTTTGGTAGATACGCCAAGCCATTTAAGGTAACGGCTAACTGTAAAACATAGAATTCATTTATTTATTGATTCATTATTTAGTGAATCAATAATTAGTATTTCTTTTTTTTTTTTGTAATGTTTAAAAAAATAAATAATTACCTTTTTGAGCAATGTAAGTTTTTCCCCGGGCAGGAAGTCCCACCATCTATGAAAGTATAAAGTAAATAAATTTGCTGGAAATCACATTTTTGACGAGATCCACTCTTCTATTCTAATAAAATTTTCAAACAAACGATCAAAGGACCAATGAATGAAGAAATTTTTTAAGTACATACTACACAAGCGATCCGTGTGTCTATTAGATAATTAGGATTAATTTGAAATTATTTGAACAATTCAATGAATAAACCAAAAAGGATTGTCAACTATACATACACGAACTCATTTTTGCGGGTGTTTGTTATATTAGTTTTTCCAAATATTTGAATTCAAGCACTTTAAATAAATAAAAAAAAAAAAAAATTTGACAACTTATGTCGATTATAGAGAGAAAAAGCAAGTGAATTTCTATAACTTTATAACTCTTTATGGTTAATTTTGTGATGTGCATTGTTACCGAATTTGTAAAGAAATTTTATCACGCGATGTGATGTAATGTTTTGCAGATTTTTTTTATTGTCATGTCATTTATAATTGATTCATATGGTTATGTGGTTATATCTAAATCTTTCAACTGGTTCTGGTTCAGTGGTTCGGTTTTTTAATAATAAACCGAATATTTCTATTTTTATCACTAAGTAAACTTACTTATTTAACAAATTTAGTAGTACCTGTTTGTAGCAAAATCAATGATTTTTTTAAAAAACATCGATTTCTTCACAAATATGTACCAAAAATTTATGACCTGATTAAGATGTCAATATAAGTCAACCTGTGATAACCACTATATTCACGTGAGAGTGATGATCAAATCTAACCAAATGCAGTAATTTTATATATCATAAATTTTTTTTATTCCAATAAAATGAAAATAATGATCATTGTATTATAAAAAAATGCTAGATTTTACTTTGATGTTATAAAATGAATGTAATAAATGTTCTTTTAAAAATCTTCAAAATTAGTTAAAATATATATATATCAACTTATTTATCTTTGGACGTAACATCTCCAATCCGATTCAAATAAGCAGCCAAAGGTTGTGACATTACAGTCACAGGCCGACCACTAAACAAAGTTTCCGTCACAATATCAGATGTTAATTTTGATAACCTATTTTTAAATCAATTTATCATTTTAGTATTTTTAGAAAAAAATAATTTAGTGATATACAACGAGGTGTGATTATATAAAAAATAATTACCATTTTTTCTGTTCGGATGTGAGTCGAGGTTCCTCTGAACTGTTGGTTAAAGCTTTTATTGCATCGAAATGTAATTCAACTCGTGATTTATATTTGATAAATTGTTCACCAGCTTCATTGAGACATCGCTTGATAATAATAAATCAAATTATTTAAATCATTTAAATATAATATCAAAATATCAAAATATCAAAATATCGAGAAAAAAAAATAATTATCAATAAAATTAGTATTAATAAGCATTGAAAAAAAGATAAAATACTTACATATAATAATGCAATCTGATGAGCCATGTATTTGTGATCTGTAAGTTGTAAGTCTTGTTGAATTTGTAGAGAAATAGAAACTAATTGATTATGGACATTCATTTCATGAAAATGAGCTATTAAATTTATTTATAAATAAAATAGGTTAGTTAGAACGCAAAAAAAAAAATAATTTTGATTTTATATCACCGAACAGAAAAAAAAAAGGAATTTTATTTACCGAAGGCATCAATTTTTTTAGATGGGTTATTTTTGACCGTTAAACGTTTTGTTGATTTTGGGAAAAGCGAAGCGAGTTCTAAATCCTCTAGATGAGCCTATAAATTATAAAAAAATTTTATATTAATCCGAGTGAATTGTTGTAATTATTGGAAATTGTTTCAAGAGTTAAGAATTAACTGTGAACGAACGAACGAACGAACCTGAATGTCTTTTTTAAGTATACCATCATCCTCAAATTGCAAGAAGGATGACTCCAAAACATTAATAGCAGCCTCAATTTCAGCTACATTATATTGTTGCTAAGTGAAAAAAAAAGTGAAATTTGTATTGCCAAAATTGCTACAATATATATTCTAAAGGACAGCTTTAAAATATATATCTTGTCCCTTAAAATATTATGAAAATTGATAAACTTAATCCCGATTAGAATTTGAACCTTCATTTTTTTTCTGCCTGTTAAATATATTGTAATCAATCGTGTATGTTAGACATACCATTTATTTCGATATCGCTCTTAACAAACGGTTATTATAATCTTGTAATTAAGTGGCCGAAGTATTAAAATTCTATATATATAACATCATTTTTTTTAACAAGTATTCCGTTGTCACTACACAAACCTGCGTCAAGTTCTGAACACCATGATTCGAACTAGCAAGTGACTCTTCTTTAGTCAATAAGACTTCTAACCTCGACAACGCGTTTAATATTTGAATTCCTATTCTCTTCTTTCGAGAACATGATTTCAAAAGAAGTGGTTCATGGAGACGTATTTCAACTAAAAATAAATAATGAGTATGTTATACATAAAATACATAAAAATCTTTTTATGATAATTTTTTATGGAAAATATCTTCCTTTTCTTTCTTTGTCACTATGTAAATAATAATAATACCTTCTTGAGTTGAGTTGTTTGTGTTGAGATTAACAAGTGGTGGTGTTGTAATAATTTTACTCATTATTATCGACTGAAATAAATATTTTGTTGAATTTTTTTGATAAATCTATTTCTCTGGAAATCGAGATCTTTTCACCCCGTTAAATAAAACTAGTTCGCATTTCTTACCAATTTATTAAAATTTTAAAACGTTTACAAAGATTAGATTTTTAATTTAGTGTAACCGAAAATTATATAAAAACTTATATTTTCCAAATTCACTTTCAAGCGACAACCCCAAAACCATGAGCAGTATCAAATCCCTAATCCCTCCTAAATTATCTGTCGCCGGAGTAACGGGCAGTTCTTTAAGATTTGCCCGCCTCGGGGAGTTTTATAGTAAACTTCCCAAAGGTCCACGGATTGAAACACCCCCTCCTGGATTTTTAGGAAGATATTATTATAAATATATTCGAACCAGTTCACCTGCACCCATTTTACATATTATCATCGGAGTTGGCCTCATTGGTTATACTATAAACTATCAATTCCACTTGAGTAAGAATACCTTGTTATATTATATTATTACATTTAAATTTTACACAATTAATTAATTTTTTACTTTTCTTTACAGAATATCACAAGGCCCAGAAATATCATTAAAAACTCAAATCATTTGAAATGACCTTTTTTTTTTGATATATAATAATTATAATTTATAATTAAAGTTAATAAAAATAAAATTTAATTATTGACAATTTTGTTTTCTTGATTATATTTATTTCCAATGATGAAAGTGTTAATTTTATTAAATCTACGAGATTTTTTTTTTTTTTTTTAAAAAAAAAAGAAGTTCTGTGGGATTTGTGGGATTTCTTGAAATCTTGAAATTTTGTGATTAATGAAAATCACCCGATATTTATATTTATCATCATAAACATAAAAAGTTAACAAGTTATACAATTCCAAGATGATTATAAAAGAATTTAAATGTTAAATAAAATTTGTAATTCAAGTAAACAAATTTTAGTGGTTTTTTTTTTTTTTTTTTTTTATTGAGCAACTTTTTGAGTCACATTAGGATTGATTTTTTTACCATCCTGTTTTTTATTGTTGAAATAAAAAAAAAATAAATAAATTATAAATATAATATTCAAAAATAAAGGTCAAACATATAACAAAAAAAAATTACATTTACCTTATTATAGCGAATTCTTGGTGGTGGAGCACGATTACGACGTCCTTCACGCGATCTAACCCTCACAACATGTGAATGGATTGCACAGGAGACGCAATAATGTAGCTTGATGTATAATTTAGGAAGTGCATATTCTAAGATGATTAAAATTAATAAAATAATTATTAAATAATTAAAAAAATTAAACAAACAAAATTAGATCAAAAATCGAAGCATAAAAATATTCATTGTCTACCTTCATATACAGAAGCATCGGTAATATCACGAACAGCTGCACTTTCTACCATATTACGAACAGTGAATCGTTTAATCGCTTTGTCCTAATGAAAATCATAATCTGTTAATTATAATGATAATTTATAATAATTTAAACGTAATTAATTAAATTACCTTAGGTACACATCGAGCACAGTTAGAACAACGTACTGGTTTGACGTGACCACGTCCATGTTTGTTACGTCCGCCGTTTCTTCTTTTTTTGGTCTAAATCATCAAATTTTAGATAATGTATTATAATATAAATAAATTTCTTTAACATTCAACTTTATATATAGGTCTTAATCTTTTTTTTTTTTTTTTTTTTTGATTCAATTCCAAATGAAAAGCGATCGTTGACACTTTCTATTATTTTTAGAAAATTCTCCTTAAATCAAGATCTACTCTTTCAATATACATTAAATATACATTTAATATATATATATATCTATCCCGATACATAATCCAGTATTACATTCGGTAAACATTCAAAGTATAGATTCAGTATACATTCTCGGTATATACATTTCAGAGTACACATTCAATCCAACTCGTTAAGATAATACTTTTCTTTAATGAAATAATACTAACCATCGTCAATAAACAAAAATCGATGGATTGAAAAAAAGAGAGAGAACAAAGATTTTAATGTTCACCTCTTTTTTATAAGATAACACAATTTTTTATCCAATCATAAATTACTTTCAACAATTCACGTTTGATAAAACTAAGCTATTTAACGTGATTGGAAACATTCGATTGGGTACATAAAAAACTTGTAGAAGTTACACATAATTACAGTAGACGCAAAAAGAAGGGTTTAGTTTATAGTTACACCGAGTTAAATTTCAGCAAATACAAAAAAGTCCGGTATTTATCCGAAATTTCCTAACCCTGTCAGATTCTAATAATTTTTTTTGAATTATGACAATTTTTCGTATAATATTTTAAAGAAGTTAACATACTTTAAAAAATTACTATTTTTTTACTATTGTAACAGCAATATTGTACCAATAAAAATTTATCAAAAATGATTAAACCAATGCCAACCGAATGTCTTCAAGAGATATTTGAACACTTGCAAGACGACGAGTGTACTTTATTCTCTGTACTTCAAGTAAACCGTTTCTGGTGTAAGAACGTTGTACCAATACTCTGGCGAAAACCTTTTGAACTTTGTTCAAAAAAAGGTGGTTCACCGAATCTTGTGGAAACCTTGATTTCTTGTATGGATATAGAAGCCAGAAATCGTCTGAAACGTGATTGTAAACCTTTGAAAAAGAAAATTTCACGATCACCACCAAGTTTCAATTATTCCTCTTATTTGAGAAAGTTGACCACCAGTGATTTATGGGAATCTGTTTTATTATGGGTTAGTTATAAAAAAAGTTGCGATAATATACGACCATACGCAAGAACATTATCTCCAGAACAAAAAATGATCGCTTGTGTTATAAAAGAGTTGGGATTGCTTTTCAATAAAAATTGTCCAAAATTTGATCAATTAATATTCAATACAGATCATGATGAATTAATTGGATTTTATCTTTTGCATTGTTTACCACATATTCGTGAATTTAATTATTCTGGTTGGGGTAATAAAGAAAGAAATTTCGATGCAGCTTCAAAATCACGTAATTGTAGAAATTTAAAAAAATTGGTAGTAGAAAAAATTTCTACTGAACCAAAACAAATTGGTCGTGGATTAAAATATGGTGGAAATGCTAAATTTGATTATAATGAGAGGTATACGCGACGTCATTTTAGTTCATTATTTAATAATGTTGTAGTATCTTCATATACCAATTTAATTGATGATGGATCAGAGAATGATTTAATTAATAGTTCATTAGATCCTTTTAGTATTGGTGGAGGAGTACATCATTCATCAACATCTCGAGTAGTTGAAAAACCTAAATCCGAACGAGAATTATTATTAAATTTAATTAAAGTTCAACGTAGATTAGAACATATTAAAATATTCTTTAGTGATTTAAATTTAGAATTTTTTTTATCAATTCAAACTCAATCAAGAACTTTATCCTGGTTGGAATTCGATACGATATATTTTGATACTGATATAACTTTGGAATCATTTGGATTTTATGAAAATTTGGAGACACTTTTAATTAACGCATGCCTTTGGGGAAATTTTAATGAAAGAGAATTTACTTCTTCTTCATTCTCATCATCATCATCATCATCATCATCATCATCATCATCATCGTTTAAACGTAGTATGTTTCCAAATCTTAAAATATTAAGTATCCGTGGGACGAGAATACCTAGTAAAGATCTTTCATCAATAATTAAGAATTCTGGTAAATCAATGAACACCATTTATTTGAATTGTCAACAAGATATTGATCTTCCAATATTACATTCAATCGCTGAATATTGTTATAACCTTCAAGAATTAGAATTATATTTGGATCGAAAAGATTTACTCATATGTTTTACGACCTTAAATAATTTAAATACTTTAAAAAGGTTACGAATTTATGGAGGAGGATTTTGGGATTGTGGTGGAATTGATTATCGAGGAAGTATTGACAGTGGATATGGATCAATTTTTGATTATAATAGTTATTATAACTATAATAATATTAATAATATTGGTACAATGGATATAAATAATAATCGTGATTTATGGTCAATGAGATATGTTGATGATGAAAGTTATTTAGAACCAAGTAAAAGTTTACCAAAGGTTGCAAAAATATTACCAACATCTTTACGTTGGTTAAGTTTTCCTAGAGGGTGGGTATTTTCATTTCGATCAGTAGAGGAATTCTTGAAAAATTGCAAAGTACAATTGCAAAGATTGGAATTAAGATATCGTATGCCAAATCATGGTGTAGGATATGTGTAAAAAAAAATAAAAACAAAAGAAAAAAGAAAAATAAATAAATAAATAAATAGAATTCGGGACGGGAAAAAGAAAAGATGGGAAATAATAATTATGCATGAATTTTGTGGGTGCGATAAGGTATGCGTTTTAAAATGCCTTTTATGTATGTTATGTATTATTAATGTTATATTATCGATCGAATTGAAAAATCACGTAAAAGTAGATATAACATATCTTGACATAGAAAAAAAAAAAAAACGTCAAAAAACTATATATATTTATTTCTTAATATATATATTAGTAGTGTCTTTAAACAAAAAAATCAAAGTTAATGTTAAAATTTTTGATAAAAGTAAAATAGTAACTGTAACATAGAAAAAAAAAACCAATTTACTTATCAAAAAAAAAAAAAGAGAACTTTCAAATTTTTCTCAAAAATATAAAACTTTTATTTTTTTTTTTACCAAAAAATTAATTAAATGACATCTTTTATACATATATTGCATATGTTATTTAAAGTGAAAAAATATAAAGTGAATAAATGTTAAAAAGCGATTAATTATTATTAATTAGAAATACATGATCGTTCGTTCGCGTTATAATAATTTAATAATTCGAATGAAAAAAATTTGATCTCGAGAATATATATTGTTAAAGAATTTTAAGTTATATTTTTTATATTCTAAATGAGATTTATGTACAAATAATATTTAAAGAATGATCAGAACATTTTCGTCAAAATATTTCTTTAAAAAACACACACTTTAGTATCTTGATTACAAGTAGGTGCGTTTATATCATAAGAGATTTCACCCTTTTTAATTTTTTCCAAAGTTTCACGAACTTCAGATTTAACAGAAGGATCATCTTTATTAGGTGAAACTTTTTCAAGAGCTTCAATGATTTGTTCGAATGGAGGATAATCACCCCATACTTTTTCGTGATATTGAAATTCTACACCTTTTGATCCTTTGTTAATGATATAAATACCACCAGTTATTTTTCCATCACCCTTCATATTTCCTCTGATGGTCTTTTATTATTATTATTTTTATAGATTTCATTAAAAAAAAAAAATCATTATCATTATTAATTAATTAGAACATGTCGAAAATTAAAATTATTTATAAATACTTACAGTTTTAAAATTGGATCTTAAATTTGACCATACAGAGGGTTTTAAAAAGTTGAGTATGCCCGCAACGTTAAGTTTCCCGCCTCTAATTATAATAATTATAAGATTTATATAATCAAATTTATATAATTCTTCAAATGGAAAAATTTTATACAATAAATAATTTACCCGAGTGTAGAATAAAATGAAGATTCTTCGTCTAAATAAACTTGTCCTTTCCAAAAATCTTTATTAAATTCTTCTACCTCGTTTTCCAAATTTTCACGTACAATTGATATCATTTTAACGCCCTATTAAGGAGTCATAATAATATGTAAAAATATTTCCAGTGAACGGAAGTAAATATATATATATATATATATATTAGAAAGAACCGAGAGAAGAAGTTATTAACGAAAACGAATTTTTTAGCAAAACACGTACCAATTTTGTGGTTATTAAATCACGATAAGAGGCTAGTTTTACGGATTGTTGACGACATAATTGACAACCAGGACGTCGTACTATCAAAATATATGATTTATTACATTTATCATTTTATTATTATAATCTCTTATAGTCTAAGAATGCATAAAGTATTGGGTCTTTGCTATAGAATTTGATTTTGTACCAATTAAGAGCAAAACCGGTTCCTCCTGCCAAAGCTTATTTGCCTCAAAGGTAGAATTTGTTTTAAGGTCTTTAAGCTTAATTTTATTCAAACTCTCAAGAGGAGTTGGCGTTTCCATTCTATCCAATTTTTATAAAAGCAAAAAAAAAAAAAATGAAAATTTGAACATGTAAGTAAATTACATGTGACACGGGCTCTTTATATTCGAAAAAATTTATTCAAATATAGTGCGTCACCATCAAAATTTTTTTTACACAAAAATCATACCTAATTTTTTTTATTTATTTATTTTTTTTTTAATAAACCGATATGAATAAATAAAGAAATAACCTAATATTTCATTTCCTTGTTCATCTGTTCATTCATCCATTTGTTCATCTATTCAATTATTTGCCTCTTTTTTTTTCCCATTCGCCGTTCACCTAAAAATAAATTTGAAATTCATAAAAAACAAGTTAACAAGTCTCACCTTAAGGTGTCATCATTTCTACATATAGATAAGGTTTAAATCTTAATTATGCAGTAAAGAATTCCCGATGATGTCATTTAGAAATTGAACAATTAGAAAATAAATAAAATTTTAAAAATTTATAAAATTCATTTTTAATAAAAAAATAAAAATCTGCAACAAAAATTGAAACATTGTTGAGTAAAGATGCGACGCACAGTATTCAAAAAGAAATAAAGAAATTAAATGATTTTTTTGATATAATATAAAATTATTATAAAATTAATGTAAAAATTAATTATAAAATTAATATAAAATTAAATAGCTTCACGTGATGACCATACAAAAAAGAAATTGAAGAAATACTAATATCTTTAAATATTCTTCTCTTCTAATGATTCGGTCATTTCTTGAGTCAACATCACAATCCCATTACTCATCCACCCCGTAGCTTTCCTAGCTAATTCTGCATATAACCACCCAATTATTGGTACTGATTCAATTAAATCCTTTAAACTCCATACATCTTCAAGTCTTACAATTTTAAGTTGTTCATTAAATTCAAATTTTGATATAATTCTTAAACTAATCTCATTAGTATTACAACAATTCAAAAATTTATTATTATTATTATTATTATTACGAAAGAAAGGAAAGAAAGGTAAAAGGCTAGAGAATTGAGGAAAACGTAAAGGATGACGATATTTAACTATGGAATCAATGAACACAATATGATGATTTCCGATTATTTCTGAACAGGTAATATTATTGATTTCGGTCGAAATTGAGGCAGACAACATCGAAAAGAAGTTGATGATCTCTAAATGGGACGACGCTACTAAAAGTGGATTCTCGAATACTATAAAAAATGAATAGTTTTATTAATTTTTTATTATATAATGATTTAAATTGTATAAAATTAATAAAAATTTGATCATTGAAAATTATCATTTACCAGCTTGAGCGTCAAAACACTTTTGTATTATGTTTTTTCGAGTAAACTTGTTTTCAGAATATAATTCTGAATGAACCAATCTCGCGATATCTTTTACGTTAAAATTTGAATTTAATACATGAATGATATTTTTTGATTTAACGTTTTCACGATAGTTATTATTATTATTATTATTATTATTATCAATAGAATTATTGGAATTATTATTAGGATTTTTGTTAGGATTATTATTGAGAGTGTAGGAACAATTCGATGAACTAACAACATTAGAAACAAAACCATTAGGTGATGAAAGTGGAAGTTGATAATTGGATAATTCAGTCATTGTAAAATTTGATATCAATTCGTTCGTTTATGTATATATTGAATAATATAATAATAATAACAAGAATTAAAATGAATGATATTCTTTAATCAAAAGTCTCGATACAGTCATGAAAATAATTTTTCAAATCCTTTCACAAATATTTATATTCAAACCTTTATATTCAAAATATCTAGGGATCGATTGCTTATATTAATATACTGCAACTTGATTAATAAGTGAAAAGGGTATAATGATAAAAATGCAGGGAGTGCGCAAGGAATCTAATCGATTATTCTTAAAACAGTTTAAGAGATATCTTTATATATAGAATGATATATATATAGTTTTTTTTATTATTACACAAAGACAATGGAAACAAAACAAATGTCTTTGACAAACAATTAATCATCTATCTCATCTATCTATCATTGTGTCTTGTACGTTAAACTATATGAAAGATATAATATAAATTTGAATAAATTCGATAAAAAAAAAAAGTTCTCTTTCTTTAAATCTATAGATTTAAATTAAAAAATAAATGACAATTAAACCTTTATCTGGTACATATTTTACATATTCATATTACAATTTTTACGCTTTTGGATTTTGCTTTTTTGACAAGAGTTTATTTAAATAAGTATTGTAAATATTAAGTTTAAACGTATAGTATATGTTCTTTTTATATAATCAATGACAAAATTGCATTTATATCTCAAGAATTTAATTGGAATAAAGCCAGAAAAATAATTATATTTAAACTACATTTGTGAAAATTTTGAAAGCTGAATCTTTGATATAAGAGAATAATTTGTAAAATAAGTATAATATTTAAAGTTTAATAAATAGAAAGTACAATAAGGCCATAAAACCTCCAGAAACTTGTAATTTGAAAGTCAAAGAAAGTTTTGTTTAAAAAATTTGAACTATAGTTAATATGCAATTGCAAAATAATACGTCTGGTTACACGAAATTTTTAATTTGTATTTTGTTTGAATAAGAAAGTGGTGCATGGAGGTTGATTAAATATTTATTATTTTTTTTCATTGTCAAAAATCAACAGAATCATGAAATCATGAGATATTACATTTCTCAAATTTAATGTCCATAAAAGCGGACATTAAATTTGAAAAATGCGCGAGGATCATTATTATTATAAATAAAACGCGACGCGAGAATCATTATTACTATAAAAAAAAAATCTATTAAAATTACACCCATTTAAATCTTGAACTCAAAATAATTTAAATATTATTCTATTTTATTTTTATAAAAAAATAATAATTTTCGATTTTAAGTATTGACCAATACAATGAACATTTACGGAAACAAACTTTATGGTGAATGCTGTTGGAATTCTTTTTCAAACCACCAAAAATATAATTGATATTACAGAAAAAGTGGTATTTATTCATGTGGCAAGGATGCTTTCTGGTTACAGAAGCTGATGTTGAAAACAATACAATTAAGATTGTTCATTCGTAAGATACTTAATTATACTTACAAATATTTAATATTTCTAAATGCAACTTTATATATTAAATATCTTATAATAATGATGATAGAACGAATCTTTGTATTGATGTTTAGATCTTATTTCTTCGGAGAAATAATAATATTTTTTTTATTTTAATTATATTTCAAATATTCAAAATGAAGTTGGTGTAGTGAAATTATTTGAAGATGAATTTTATATTGCGGGTATTTTCAATTTACATTTTTTATTGATTTTCATATATATTTTTGTGTATACTTATTATAGATAATTATTTTAGGTATACAAATATTTTCATTCCCAGAATTTTAGAATTTGTCATATTAAAAGAATGTTAGATCAATCTTCATGTGCTAGTAACAAATATGAAAAAATCGACGTTCTTATTAAATATATCTTGATGATATATATATTGTTAATATATATATGTTCTGATGAAAGATTAAATGTTACTTGTTCTCCCTCCTCCTCCCTTTTAAAATATAAAAATTGAACATTAATAAATTATACAACCAATCATATGTATAAATCTTAATCACATGGCGGCAACGAAGTCGCCATAAATAAATAATAACGATCGATCAATCTAAATCATTTTAAAAAAAAAACGCGTAAATGCTCATTGATTGGCAGGAATGCTAAGTCCCACAGCAGTGTCACATTCGGAACAAACATATTTTTTATTTATTTTCCACATTTTTAGTAAAATCATGGAAGTCAAAAACTCTTGATAACACTTCGCAAGGTAAAACTTTTTTTTTTATTTTTTTGCGCGTAGTAAAATAGAAGTAATTTTATAAAAGCATAAATTTATTATTATTTAGATTTCTTTACATAAATAATAATTCGAAAAGACAATGAGTATGGGAAAAATAACTAGAAATAAAACTTATAATGATCTACGCCACCAAGAGATCGGTAGTAGACCAACACGAGGTAGACCACCAAGAAGTCGAATAATGGGTGTAGATAATGAACGAAGACAAGAAATGCCGGTACCAGAAATATTGTTATTAGATCAAACGGAACAGGAACAAACAGTAAACGGTACAAGTATAAATGAAACACGTTCTAATGAAAGGGAGCACGAATTAAAGTCAAGTGAAACAAATCAAAATGAACAATTGAGAGGAAATAATCCACCTCATAGAACATCACCTCGAGAAGCATCAATACAACCACCACCACCACTTTCAAGACCTACAATAACATCACAAGAACCTAGTCCTCAAGAACAATTAGAGAATTTACCGCCTGGTTCCTCGACCACCACGACGAGTACAGTTATTACGATTAAAATGACAACAGTTACTCATACAGATGCAAATAACAATTCAACTACAACCACCACGGTCACCACAGATATATCACCCGTAACCAGTAACACGGTATCAGCAGATCCAGCCACGATAACGGTAGAAACAAGCGAAATGCCGGCTCAAATATCGCGATTTCCTACACAGATAACACCAATTATTGCAAAAAATACTAACGATAACAACAAAAACATTAATAATGATATTGATAATAGTAAGAATCATCACCTTCACAATAATCTTAACAACAATCATCACAACACCAACAACTTCCACAACAACAACAACAATAATAATGATGTTAGTAATAACAATAACGATAATAATAATAATAAAGAAAATGATAATCACAATAAACATAAGAATAATAATAATAATGTTCGTGATTCTGGACCACTTCCATCGATTCATAGTTTACAAAGTCCAACATTTCCGGGACAATTAAGTGCCAGCCAATTGCAACAACAAATGGCAGCTGTTTATGCACCTCAAATAGCTGCATCTATTATTAATAATGTCGCGTCAAATATGGGATCAAATATGGGATCAAATATGGGATCAAGTATGGGGTCAAGTACGGGAACAAATATGGGATCAAATATGGGATCAAATATTGCTGCAGGTTCAGAAATTAATTCAGAGAATGTTTTTGGACATCATTTCAATAATAATAATAATAATGTTAATACTCATGGTTCATCATTATCATATTTTAACACTCCCCTGAGTACGTTAAATCCACCTATTAATAATATTAATAATATTAATAATATCAATAACATTAATAATATTAATAATGGAAATATTATACGTTCTTCGCCTCAATTGGGACCAACAAATTTTCATAATAATCCTCTCATAAGTCCATTTTCTCATATGATTCCAAATTATTCAATGATACCTGGTTTAGGACCTATTGGAATATTTCCTCATCACACAGGTGCAAGTTCTGGAAATAATTTTATGAGTATTCCTCCTCCTAATCTTATAAATTCATTAAATCTTATGGATGATGTAAATGCAAATCCAAATGCAAATAATAATAATTCAAATAATAATAATAACAATAATTCAAATAATCCTCATAATTTAATCAATTCATCAAACAATTCACCAAACAATTTATCAAACACTTCACCAAACAATTTACCAAACAATTTATCAAACAATTCAAATGATTCAAATAATAATAATAATAATGATTTAAATAATAATAATAATAATAATGAAAATAATAATGGTAATAATAATAATAATAATGATAATGAAAATAATAATAATGAAAATAATAATGAAAATAATAATAATGAAAATAATAATAATAACAATAATGGAAATAATAATAATAACAATAATAGAAATAATTCAAACAGCAACAATAATAATAATACAAATAACCAAACTAATACTACTATTATGAGAACTCCCAGCACTGCAACAATTAATTCCAATGGAATTATTTCTAGTCCAATTGATTCTATACATGGACCTTCACTTATAACTTTACCAATTAACTTTACTACACAAAATATGCAATCTGCTTCCACACAATTCACTTCTATAAACAATCTTACAAACAAAAATAATAACAATAATATAGATCTTCCAAACACTAATAATAGTGTTAACAATGTTAACAATATTAATAATGTTGTTAGCAACATCAATGGTGTCAATAATGTTAACAATGTTAATGATATTAATAATGTCAATAATGTTAACAATGTTAACAATTCTAACAATACCAATGTAAATTGGATAAACCCTTCAACAATGGCAACAACCTCTGCATCATCTTCATTATCTTCATCATCAGCTAAAATCACAAGATTAAATCTTGAATATTATCATTTACCAGAATTAGATTTACTTGATACTGTTTATGATGTTTGGAATGAATGGAATGTAGGACTTAATGGAAATCCATCAGTAATTACATTATTAGAAACTTATGGAATTACTTGGGCTAGTGAAAATAAAGATCCTTTAATTGCTCGTAAAAAAATTATAAAAGAAATACAAGTAAGAATAAATAATGATTTGACAATTGATGAAGTTATTAATGATATGGAAAAAATGAGAGCTGGTCAAGATTTAAGTTGGTTAGCAAAAAGATTTGGAAAAAAAAGAGATTTTATAAATCGTAATCAATAAATGAAAATAATAATTAATTAAAAATATTAATCAAAATCAATTGGTTAATAGATTTAATAATATGTCATAATATTAAAATATAATTTGTAATAATTTTTATCTTATTTTTTTTTTTATCTTTTCTTTTTTTTTCTTTTTCTTTTTTTTTATTAAATAATTAAAATCTTTTAAAAAAAATTCTTTATATATATTTTTTTTTTATTTTTGTATAATGAATTTTATTAATAATCTAAGTAATATTACAAATTTTCTTTTTTTAGGTTTTAATATTATATAAAAAATTTATTAAATTTTTAATTATTTTTTTAAATATTTAAAATGAAAATTTTTTTTATACATTTTTTACATTTATACATTTTTAATAATATAAAAAAAGAATATTTGAATTTAAAAAAATAATAAATAAATATTATAAATTTTTTTTGTTTTTGATATAATATTCAATTATAATAAAAAAAATTTTATAAAAATACATGTGAATAAAATGTAATAACTTTTTAATTTTATTAACTAGTAAAAATTAAAAATGAAATAAAAATAAGAAAAAAATATTTTTACTTTAATAAATAAATATTTTTTTTTTTATTAAAATTTATAAAATTATAAAATAATAAGTGTTATTAAAATTTAAACAAAAAAATAAATTAAATTAAAAGAATAAATCTGTATCTTGCACCTCTGTATAATATTTATATCTAGTCGCTAAGAAGTGATACTTGTAAATGTCACAATATGTTTAAGTCACATGTTTATAATTGTCAATTTAATATTACATTTATATCATGAGATCATCATTTATTTACAATTTATATAATGAGATATTACAATCATAATTTTATTTTTATTTCTTTTTTTAAAAAAAAAATTTTTAAACAATAAACTTTTCTATATTAATAACTTCAATAGTTTCTTTTTCAAGATTATTTATCTATACTCTTATGAAAAATAATATTGTATTTTATTTGATTACATATATAACATCTGTAAGAATCTTTAATTTGAATCCTTTCTGAAAACCTTGTTCTTTTTCAATACTATTCAAATACTGTCACTTAGATAATTAACTTTTATTAGTAACTTTGTTCAAATTCTTTATATTTTTGAGATTTGTTTTAACTATTTTATTATCTTGTTTAATTTTATCTTTATCTTTCTTTATTTGATTATTACTTTTTAATTCAACATTGATATTATTGTTTATTTCATGGGCATTATTAAATATAAGTCTTTTATCAATTATTAATATTTCATTTACAGATGTTTTGTTATTTGCAGATGTTTTATCATTTGCAAATATTTATCATTTGTAAATATTTTGTTATTTGCAGGTCTTTTAATTTCATCAATCTCAGGTCTTTTATTAATTACAAATGTTTTATTATTTGTATACCAGCTTGTTAAAAGTATTTAGACAATTATTTTTTTTTCAAATTTTTTAAAAAATTTTAAATTCCCAGATAAAGGACTATTATATGATATCTTATTTATTTAAATTGAATACATTTTTATTTTAAAATCTTATTTTAAATAAAATTAATTAAAAATATTAAATTAAATTATTAATTGTAATCTTTTTTTTTTGATTTCAGTAATTATCTACTAGAAATATTTATTATTTTATAAGAAGTTATAGTTAGGGTTATTAATAAAACATAATAGGTTAGGTTGAACTTATATTATAGTGAAGTAAGGGTTAACCCAATTCAATCCAGGTTAAATATACTGGATTAATACTTCATGGGTTGTTTCAGATTATTCCAGGTTACTTCAGATTGTTTTATAGAGTAATAATTATATTTATAATTCTTATTTAAAGAAAAATAAAAAAAAATTATATCAATTTTTAAATTAAAATAATTTTAAAACTTGTATAATAATATTAAAATAATTATATATTTTAATTTCAAATTTAATTTTCTCTTTATTAAATATTTAAAAATTAAAATTGAATAATAATGATATATTAGAAAATTTAATTAGGTATAAATTTACGGAAATATTACATGACCTACAGAAATTTACATTGTTAACCGTAATTACCTTTACTAAACACGATTAACTATTAACTAATAACAGGGAAACTATTGTCCAAAAGGTCACAAAGCAATTGGACGAGTATGTTATAGTTGGAAGGTTTTATACTTGAAAAGATATAAGGGGTAAAGGATTTAATGGTACGGGTTTGTTCGAAAGAGGCTAAGGTGTGAGGTTTTTTAAAGAGGTATGGGTTTAAACAATATAACACTAAGTCGACTAATATTCATACAGAATATTATAAGTTTCACATAGAAACTACAAGAATTCATACAGAATTAATACAATTAACCACGATCACGAAGCAAGGTTAATTATAGACAAAATAATATCGAGATCACGAAGTAGGATATTATTTATTAAAAAGTATTTCACTAAGAAATCAAAGGTTTCAAATTATTATTTTATCACAAAGACTTTTATTAATAATTTATTACATATATCAAGTTCAGAATGTATTCAAGTTCTAACTGTCCTAACTCTAAGAATAAAAACTATCTTTATTTATACAAAATTGTCATCCTGTCGTAAAATTATAATTACTAGTCTCAAGAAAGCTCCGGAAATTTCTATAACATTCTGAAAGATTCTATGAGCTATTTTGGCTAATGAGTTATTTATGCTAAAGGTATTTATCAGAAGTGGCAACTAGAGGTATTAATCAAAGGTATCAACTAGAAGCATCAATCTTGTGTCACAACAAAAATGATCTACATCTGTTACTTGTAAATAATAGTACTAATATATAATATTATACAAATAAAGAAATCTAACTAATAAACTAATATAATAATATTAATAAATAATATATATAAGAATTAAGAAATAAGGCTAACAGTATATATGAAAAAAAATCATGTGATATAAGTTAATTAATCATATAAGCTACAAATAAATCGTACAAGTCACTATTCATACAGTACAAAATAGCATTTTATACTGTACAGTTTATTTATATACCCGAAATTTATGTATATAATAATGGATTTAAATACTTACAATTTTAAATTCTTTTGTTTATATTACAATTGTTCATCAGAATTATGCTGGAATATGGATATAAATTTTGAAAATACAGAAAATACTATATGTAAAATTTTAAAATATATTAATTAATTTATTTATTTTATATTATTTAATAATATTTTTTATAATTTTAATTAGGTGAAAATAAAAAATCAGCTATATTTCTTGCAATAAAACAAGAAAATTATATTCCAGATAAATTACATTTGCTTTTAAGAATTTCAGATATTTTAATAGAGTATCTTTTCTCAAATTTGATTTAAAAAAAAATAATTTTCAAAACAAATTAAATTTGCAATTGAATTGACTTTTCAAAATATTAAAATTCATTTTGAATTTTTTCAATTAAAATCTATAGAAAAAAAATGGGATTGAATTTCATTCATGAATTCAGATAAAAAAAATGCTTAAAAATTTTTCTGTTTTTCAATTTGTTCATGGTATACGTCAAAAGAATATTGAATATTTATGAAAAGAATTATCATTTATATAAAATTTTAAATCAAGATATTAATTAATTTGAAATAGATACTCAAAATAGGATTCAATTATTTTGCTGTCCTACTGAAGGTTTAGAAAATAGTTCAAATCAAATTCAAGGATTATTTTGAAAAGAAGATATTATACCATATATGCATATTTTTGCAAAACATATATCTCAATTTTCACAACAATTAAAAGAAAAAAATTTATCTTTAAAATTTTTTTTATCTTCAAGTATTGAAAAAAAAAATCACGATTAGGTATTATTAAATAATAAATTTATATTATAATTTTATTATTTTTATTAAGAATATTTTTTTATATAGGTTTATTTATTTTTTGGAGATATTACTATAGGTGAAGAAACTAATGAAAAATCAGTAGTATATAATATGATGTCTTTTAAAAACTGGCAATTATATTATAAAATTAATAATACTTCTGAAAAATTTATTGTACAAAATATTAATTCTAATAAAAAAAATTAATATAATTTATTTTTATTAATTAAAAATTATTATTTGTTTATTGATACATAATTAAAATATAATTGTTGAAGTGGTGTACAAGGTAATATATATCTATAATTTTGTGTTATATTTTGATTATTTGGTTTGGATTTATTTCTTAAATAATTAATAAATTAAATTAATAAATATTTATAATAATATTAAATTAATAATAATTGAAATAATATATACTTATCAACAAACTTTTCAGAATCAGCTATAAATATACAAGTTGCAGTATTACATTGAAAAGTTTATTTATTTTCATTTAATTTTAATAATGACCTAATAAAATAATATATTTATTAATATTATTAATATTTTAATAAATATTAAATTAAAAAAAAAATAAAAAACAATATACCAACTAAAATCAACACTATATATTTCTTCATAATTGATTAATAAAATATAACTTTTTATTTTTGTTATAGGATTTGGTCAAAAACTTCAGTATTCATAGTTTAATATCTGTTTTAATCTTTCTTCACCTTCTTTTCTTTTGAATTGACACGAATATTTTTGTTGTATTGGACTATATTTAAATGTTAGTTCATATTAAAATAAATGAATAAAAATATTTTCTGGAAAAGTATCAATAGAGAATCGTTTGAAACCAATAGAATTTCTATTAAAGCCAAGTTGCTTTTTAATAAGTACTATAAATGTATTCTGATAAAAAACAAGATTATCAAGAGAAGATAAAAAAAAGGAGGTGCTGTTACTAGTCAATCTTTTGGACTAATTTTATTTTCTAAAAGACAATTTACAACTAGCAACTCGTAAACAGTTGCTTTAGTTTACGAATTGAAGAGGATAATAGAAGAAGAATAAAAGAAATATTAAGTTAAATACTAAAAACTAATTAAAAGACTTAAGAATTTAAGATCACGGGATTTAAATATTAACTAATGATTAAATTTTAAAGGTTGATTTAAGAAATTAAGA